TCTTTTTTGTACGCCCTACGTTTTTCCTTTTCATCAATTAGTTTTTCTTCAATTAAAGTCTGATCTTGACCTCTTCTTTTTGACTTTGGTAAATCAGAACTACTATTTTCTACTGTAGACATGTTATGAGTTTCACCTATATGTGCAATGTAAATTTTTGTGCATTGACTTGTCATATTCATTGGTTGAACAATAGTCACAGGATTAAAAGTTTCATTTGATTCAGCAATACGAATTGATAAATTGAGACAGTTGGCCACTGCTTGAATTATAATTGCATCAGCCCATGTTCCCTGACACGACATGTTACTCAAATATGCTTGCCAAGAATGCTCAGTATTACTCTCTATAAACTGTTCTGGATTATGCATTAGATACTGAATGCTAAGATTATGGACATGAAAGTGGTTATCAGGATTGCCATTGAGTTGATGTGATACTGCTCCAAAAAAGCAGTTACCATCTCCCCCAACATTAAGTGCAATTCTATTTAATTCAGACAACCTGGTTTCTAGCAGGGGAATGGAGTTGGAAGCTGAGGCACCTTGTGTTGCTAATTGTGTATTTGTACTGCATTGATTTAATGGCCCAGGGTTCTCTTCAACATCACCACTTAAAGAAATCACTCTATGAGATAGATGGTAGGTTTGCAACTGATGATGTTTAAATTTCTTTAACATTCTTGCATCAACGTACAAACAATAGACAAACAAACAATGAAGACTTCTTATGCTTTAATGTTCTCGTACATTTAGCAAATGGCGTACATTTAGCAAACCTTCGCCGTGACCTTTGAGTGGAATGCATCTTGCTATATTCGGCGGGCCGGGTGGTTCACTAACGCCAACAGGATACATTATGAATAAAAAAATGTCGAGCGTCGATACATCCAAAAAGAACCAAATTAAAAGCTACAGCCAAAGAAAAAAGCCATTTCTCGAGGAAGTCGACTCTGACTTCCAGTTCAAACACGACCTCGGCACGCGCACGGTGTGCACTAATTTGAGCCCGCGATAGTCAGCGGTTTTCTTTTTCCACTGGTCAGCGGCTCAACAAATAAAAAGTTCACAGGAATCGACCAAGCGCTTCCCCCCCCCCCAAAACCTCCTATACTCATAAACGCTACGCATTCACTCGTAAAAATTAGTTCTTAATCTCGTATAACTCCACGTCAGATGCGAACCCGGATATCGATCAACCGATATGTTCACCGCATTGTGAGCAGCAGCTCGGACGTTCGAAGAAGACAAGGAAATATAACTCGTTTTAATAATATTATGTTATAATATCGTAATTTTCACGCCCTGTGTTGAATTTCATTTGCACGTGCTGCTAGACTCATTATATATTCAGTTTCGTTTGTACCTTAAAGGCACTTGATAGAGATTAAATGTCTGTTCAGTAACCGCTTGAACGTGTGGATCGCTGTGTTATTACAGAAGGGTCTCCCAAAATTTCGGTGATCGTGACTCGTAAGAGTTAACAATTTATTGAATTCTACTTTGTGTTCCGATGCAGTAATTAGAAACTTCTGATCGACAATTTTGCAGAAACAACACGATAAGGTGACGTGGTAGTCAGAGCAGGAATGCACTAGGAGTAGCCTGAAAACTGTAAACTTCCGGTGTACCAGTTTAAGCTGCGACATCATTTTACTGCTAACAACGTGACAGCCTTTTTGGCTTAGGTGCATCAATATTGCTAAATGTCCCTCCTGCTTGATGAGGTCGATTATTGAAACTGGGTTGTAATATTCATCCACTGTTGACTTTGCTCTCTCAGTTATGTTAGTTACGCTTATGGTCGATTGTCACGCAGCCTTCTATTTTTCGAGAAAGGAGGGGAGGGGTAAACAGACGTAGGCTTACCCTAGGGGGAGGGTGGAATCCCTATTACAAAAAAGAACGGTTTCTCACTTCACTCATCTTACAGCATATTAATTATTGCCAATTGGAAAATTATTTCATGCTTCTACCGTTTCAAACTTAGGAACTCGTTAGGATCTTCTATCCTGATAGACAATTTGCAAATTGGCTTAAAACTTGCTGAGTTAAACAGACAGGAAGTTATATGAAGACCGTATTAGTTCGTGAAATGTAATTCTTAAAACTGAATGAATCCTTAGGGCCTGTTTACCTGGAGGTGGGGGACCCCAGATCGCCTTTCCGTATAATCTCTCATTTTATCTTGATCACGTCTTCATGATAAGTGGGGTAACCCGCCAAGGCGGGTTGCCCGGTCTGCCAGGTAGGGTAACCCTGTCAGCCGGGGTGACAATTTGCCATGTAAACGTCTCAATGTGGGGTGACCCGCCTATCGGGGGTCGCATTCATGGCAAAAAGCTCCTAGCCGTCTCACGGCAGAAATCACCAGAAACCGCAACGGACACACAAGGAGTGTAAAATGTTCACATTTCGGAATATTCAGCTTTGTAAATCGACCATATTTCGTTTCCCCAACTATTTCTTCAAACGTATTAAGTCTAAGATTCCTCTCGTAACCTAACACCGCGTAACACAACGCGTGACGCTTTCATGAATAAATACATACATGTCCGAGAATTAATCTTTCGTCTTTCTCGAGATATGAGCTTGCGACGCTTGTGCTCAAACTCCCTAATTGCAAGCGCAACAACAACCTCAAGAAACCTCACCTCAGCACCCCGGGGTTGTAAGATTGCATGTAAACGCGTTTTATTTTTCGACCACGGCTAGGCGGGTTACCTCACCTACCTGGGGTCTCCCACCTCCATGTAAAAAGGCTCTTAGAGTAGCATCCTGTGTCACTAATATTGTTTATTTCTTCATCTCCTTAATTTTTCTAAATTCCTTTTGTGTTATACCGTGCTCTGCTAATGTTGTACAGTTTAAAAAAACGGAAAACGACAACTCATAAAAATCATGATTTCCTCAACTGTTTTGCACTGGGTTTGATCGTATGGGAGATCGGTATTGGGTCTGGGACTGTGCCCCATGGATTTAAGCGGCTGATGGCCATCGTGAAGGTTACCCAAACTAAATATCAAACTCTATATCAGTGAAAAAGGATATTAGTTGTTGAATAAGACAATTTGGAGTGTTAGGACATCTAATGCGATGGACGCCAGTAAACACAAAGAATGACGTCATTAATCGGAATTAATTTCTGATGAAACGTAACTTCACGATGTCATGCGCACAAAGTCAATCTCTTGAAGTGTCAGCATTTTCCCGTATTCCTCTCGGTTCCTTTAATAAATCTGTCAATTTTGAGCACTGAAAACACTTTGATTGTTAATTCTCACCCGTAGCTGCTACACATTTCTATGTAAATAAGATAATTTAGTTTTATTAACTGAGTTCATAATGTGGAGTGCTAGTAATTACAAGAATTTAGTGTTAGATCAAGATAAATTCTCATTACCTGTTTGCTGGATAACGTATGGATTTTCTAGGGAGATGTTACATGTTAATCGCCTCTGCGAGTTACAGGGTTAATTTGTTTAACCGTTTAAACCCCAAGGGTGACCAGCATCTAATTTCTCCTTACAGTAAAAGCGGAGCTCGCAGAGCGTAGCCCCATAGTTATACAAAATAGTAGTAACCCATCAAGCCAAAAAAATTTGGATGTATGACCGTACGACCGCACAAGGTGCTACTTTTAACATGCGTGGTCAACTGTACCGCGGGCACGGCAACGCCACGGCTTTGTCCAGTAGTCCAGTGGTCAGTGCACAGGGCTCCGAGTCCGACGACCCGGTTTCTAGTCCTGGCCGGGGTAAGGCGTTGTGCCCATAAGACGTGCGGGAAAAAAATGCGAGGTCCGCTTTAGGCTTGGCTAAATCTATATATTATTGCTAAACCATTCACTTCGATTATGAAAATAAAGGAAATGATCGCCTACCTAAGAGGCTTTGATCTTCAAACGAATTCTCCTTGTCAGTACCAAAAGAAACATATGCAGAAGAGTATGGAGAATGTGGATATTGATGTTAGGGTGTAAACGGGTTAAAGAGGAGACATTTACTCAAAATGGAGAGTTTCGGTCTTCTAATCATCTCACGCCTGATCGGAGAATTACTTCCACACTAGGCTCACACTGTGAGCCGCCAGGATAACAAAAATAAATTTGTGAGGGATAGAGGAGTTGAGAGATGAGCGGAAGGGAGTGAGGAAGATCCTACCTTTGATCCCCTTTCACATTCATGATCAGCATTCGAACCAAACTTCAATGCAGCACTCTGAAGCACAAAACGTCAGCCAACTACTGATTATTGCTCACTAGAGATGTCAATAAAATGCAATTTATTTCTAGTTTTTCCTTATAATTAACAACTATATCCACGTTTAACGCAGTTTACAAGACATTTATTAAACTGGAAAGAAAAAAATTAAGTTGTAAACTCTAAATAAATGTAACTCAACCTTTAAGTTAACTAATGAGGAAATCACGTTTTAACAGTATATTTTGTGTCTAGGCACCCTATCAATTTCTTCCAAAGTGCTGCTTTTAATGTTCTTAAAATGTAATGGGCTTTTCAAGAAAACGCTGCGGCCATTTGGAATAGATTAAAGAGAACGTTAGTACAGCGTTTCTCCTCAGGCCACAAAATTCCTTCGTCACAACTAATGTGATATGCACAGTGATTCCAAACACAATTTACCAAATACAACTTTGAACAAAATTCCATCGTCACAACTAATGTGATATGCACAGTGATTCCAAACAATTTACCAAATACAACTTTTATGAACTGAGTTTCCATAAACGTTTCAGGCTGAGCTATGTACATTTATGTAATATATTACTTCAGTTTTACTTCTCTAAAAAAGCATGTTCCAATTACTGGGAGTCTCGGTAGCCTAAGTTTAAGCCATTTCGGCACTGGGTAACTGGAGGTGGTCAGAAAAAATTAAGTGTGCGAGGGGAGGGAGGGGAGCCTCGACAGTTTTTTTTATTATTCGCATTCCAATACTTTGTAGGTAATATCTAACTTAGACGTTGCAGCTCAAAGGTTTAGTTTAGGCTGATCCTTGCTGCACGGTTACAGCGTTGTTATCTTGTTTTTTGTAGAATCGACAATAACAATACACAGCAAACAGTATTAATATCGCAGGTACACCCAGAACGATGGGTATCACAATTTTCTTCCATGATGCTGTGAAAATCAAATAAAAACAACAAAAAGGGTTACAGCCAGTATCAACGTCACCATTTAGCCTCCAAGATTTCAACAGGCTTTTTTTTTTTTCAAAATTGGATGTATCATAACCAAGAAAAAATTAATCAACGATGAATGAGATCCCTGTGTAATCAATAAGTCATCAGATGAGTATTTACCGGGTATTGCCAATACTTGATGATTAATAAATGAACAATTGAAAAACAACAAAAAAATCTCGTCAAGCATCAACTCATTGATTCCTTGATTACCCAGTAGAGTAAATGTTTATGTATCACAATCTATTTGCCTCATCTAAAGAAATTTTTCCAATTGAGCTCCCCCAAAAGTCTTGGAATGGTGTCCATCTTTTGGTCAATATAAAATTGATGACAACTCAAATACATACTTTTTAATTGTTTCTGTATAAAGAGTTTATTTTAAAGAGTAAAATAATATATAGATTTAGCCAGGCCTTAAAGCGGAGCTCGCATTTTTTTTCCCGCACGTCTCAAGGGCACAACGCCTTGCCCCGGCCAGGACTAGAACCCGGGTCGTCTGACTCGGAGCCCAATGCACTTACCACTGGACAACCAGACAAAGCCGTGGCGTTGGCGTGCCTGCGGTACAGTTGACCACGCATGTTAAAAGTAGCACCTTGTACGGTCGTACGGTCGTACATCCAAATTTTTTCGGCATCATGGGTTACTACTATTTTGTATAATTATGAGGCTACGCTCTGCGAGCTCCGCTATAAAACTTTGTCTGGTTGAGGCTCCATTCTTTTTAAGCCACTTAACCCTTCTCTGAGGCTCTTCCTTTGCTTGACCCCCCTCCCCCACGGGCACCGATAAAATTACAGCTCCATCATAGAGGTCAAGCCATTTTTCGTGTGTTTATTTTGGTGGTCTTGGATTTCCCGCTTTTAGCTTCTGGTTTGGCTCTATCTCTGAGGATGGATGTATACGTATGAATAATTATTTTTTTAAATTCTTTGAAAATATCATTACGGATAGGGTAAATGCGACAGAACCCTAGCCACGCGGCACCAACGAGGCCTAGGGACAACTTTCCCTCGATCGTTAACCGATTGATTAGCGAGTGTAAGTCGTTTGTTTATAACTTAAGTTTTTAGCGCGACAAAATTTAAGTTGAGATACCTTTGGTTGGTTTGGCTGTTGACGAGGGTTCTTCAGTTGGGGTGACTGTTTCCATTGGCCGTGTTGAAAGTTTGGGTTTCTCAGGAGGTATAGCACGTGTCGAATCTATTTCGCTCCTAAGTTCTGATGTAATTGGGTCTGAAGAAGTGCCATACAATATCAAGGACCAGCTGTGAAGCTGACCTGTAGAATAAACACAGAAACATTGCCAAGCGAACGCAAAACAATGACAATTCCGCAGTTAGGAAACGGTATCCCCATAAAAGCTGGATTGCTGAATCTGTGAGCATATGAAAGATCTGCTTAATCAAACTACCATAAGTAAAGGCTAGAAATGTACGGTCCCTAGCGTGGAATGGTGGAACTGAGTTTTCGCTTAATCAATTAAATAAACATGTGAATGAGCAAAAGAAACGCTCAGCCTTCCACCTCCTCATCACGAAGAAAAAAGATATGCTCAGCAAGTACGTAATTTAGGCCGGCCTAAATTTCCAGGCAGCAAATCAAAGAGAGCATTTGCCGTACAACTAACAGACGAAGTTTGATCTGGTATTTCTGAGGATTGAGAAAAATAAGAAACAAAAACAAAACCACCAACACACAATAACTCAAAACTCTCAAAGTAACAAATAGATCACCTGAACTTGGATATCGCTTGTCAAAATCATCAATTTTTAGCTCCCATTTGCCATTCGGGTCTTCTCCCCAGTGAAAAAGAGATGTAATAATCCAGTCAGTCAAGTTTCTGAATCCTGTTAAGTTGTCTACGAACCGCTTTCGAGTCATTGGAGATGTTGTGTTGCTTGGTGCTCTCAACTGCAGGGACAAGTCGCCACGGCGAGAGAAATTAAGATTGACTCTGATCTGCACGTGCTCCAGAAATTTAATTGCACAATCTTTCACTTCTATTAAAACCGTTCCTGGGATGTTTCTGAAACGAAGAATTACAAAGAGACTAGGTCAATCGCCGCCAGTAAAAGAATGCTTCCTCTAATAATTAAAATGGCCGCCTTGTCGCTCAAAAGCCCACCACCAATTTAGGAGAATTTGAGAGGGTGCTGAACGCAAATGTTACAATAACCGCCATATAGGCAAACGTCTGGTAACAGTTTTGAAGATTGAAACGGGGTACTAAAAAGGGCGAGAGTGTTTTCACTTATGAGATTTGAGGAAATAATTGCTCACTGAAACGAAAGGACGGGTAAGCCTCATTGAACTATTTTTCAAAAATCTCAACTTTCAGAATAAGATCGATATTTCTCGTTTATTCAGACCTATAGGTTACACACTTTAAAATGTAAGTTTCTGCTTCCGAAAAGGAAAATCGAAAAAAACATTAGGGAAGAAATGAGAAAATTGACACTCACATGTCTTTGTCACTGCCTTCGATCTCGCATTTTATCTGCTCTGGAACCTTCTTCCATTTCCTTGCTAACATCACCATCTTGCCAGCGTCCATAAGCCCAAAGCCATAAACCTTGCTAATATGAAACCCTGCTTTGTTTTGCAGCCAATGGCCTTGTTTGAGCCAGACTCCACAAGGCGCTGCTCTTGCACTGTTGGCTATGATGTGTTGGACGTCACGCCACGTTAAGTTGGGGCTGGAAAAGGAAACAAGATTAAGAATTCTTATCTTCGGATTGATTTTAATAACCTTAAACTTCAGCAGAAATTCCTCGAATGAACACGAGTGGAATTCGTCTCAGTCCCCTCGATTAGCGCCCACTCATAGAAGGGTCGCTCCACCTTCCCCTCCACACCGATAAAGACTGGTCAGTGAGGGATTCTTTAACAGCATCAAGAATAATTCACACACCTTGAGCTCCAGGAACATATGCATGTGCATACCCCTGTGTAAACTACAAGTTGTTTTTCACCTTCGATTTCGCGCTTCCTGTTAAGTGTTGTGAATGGTGGTTTTCACTGCATACGTTTTAAGGCGGCAGGACCAACCAGCGAAAGGCGTTGGAGGAGTTAAAGCGGCACTATGAGTCTTGGTTAGTTTTCTTGACAAAGAGGAGGTCACATTCCTCCTCAAAAAACCGGTCAATTTCACCCTAGATTCACTCCGACACATGCCCAAGCTAACTTTTGACTTAACTACGAGAGGGGTAAGTTCATTCTGTGCAACCCGCCTCACTTTACTCATGAATATGAACTCTAAGACATAACAATCTTACTTTGCATGTAGGGTCAGTGCAATCAGTCCTGATGCAATGGCAGTTGCCGCCGACGAAGCTGCGAAATCGTTGACACAACCGTTTGCGTTATCAACAGTTACCTAGATGGTATACGAAATTTTCATAAATTAGCAAGCAGAGGGTTATAGAGAATGAGAGAAATAATTAACTCGGAGATAAGGTTTAACTTAAGTTGGAAAATTTCGCGTAAGGCCAAGAGTTTAGTACATAGGTCTGATGACATCGTTCATATTCTCGACTGAACGGAATGTAACCGACGTCACGAGTATTTGTGTTCAAACAATAAAGACACAGGAAAATGGATAAAAAGAAACGAAACTTACTATAGACTTGCAATAAAAAAAAGATCTAACTTAAAGTTTTCACAGTCTTAACGACATTCAAACGTCGCCTTCGCTGTTTCTCTTTCCTTTCATCTATTTTTGGGTTACAAATTGTATGGACTCATTCCACTTACAATTCCTCCACCCATGACATTGCTGTACGTGGTGGCCATGATTCCAGGACATTCTTCTGCGTAGATGGGACGGGATCCATCTTTATTCACACCGTTGATGGCGATGGTGTAAATACTATTCACATAACCATTGTATGCACAGCTGTCTCCTGTAAAACCGCCATTTCCAGCAGCAAACGTGTAGATGGCACCTCGTTTATCACGACCCTTGGTTTAAACAAATGGTATAAATATATTAGCCACTAATACATCGTTGACTATTTACACGGAAGAAACTCATATACAACGCGTATACAACGCGTAACAAGCCATCAATATTGGCAAAAACCTTGGATAAAAACCCAACACCAGGTCCAAATGCTAAGGATGTCCACTTTCTTCGTCGTTCATATATTGTTGAACGAAGGCGATCGCACTCAGACCGCTCTCTTAATAAAAATTTCAACGGCAATGAAGATAATGGTCACAATGATGGTGTTTGGTGCTGTTAGAGACACTGGTGGCATGCGTAATTGTAGTAAAAATGGCAAGAACTATAAAGATGGTGGCAAAAGCTAAAATGTGATAAAGCTGGGAAGATTATGGACAAAAGATGAAATATCTTGTGGGCTGAACTGGATGACTTTATTTAATGATAAAAGCTCCAATCACTCGATAAAATACCTGTTTAATGCCTTTTTCTAAGGCAGCACTGGTCAGTGGTCCAGGACCCTCTATTTGCCATGCCATATCCCCAGGTCCCCAGCTGTTGGAGTATATGTCAATACTTTCTAGCTTGTGCACCAAGGCTGCAGATTCTGTTGCATCAGTTGACTTAATGTCATCATCAAAAAGGCGGATGCCTGACACAAGAGAATACGGGATTCAAAGTCGGTGTTTTCTTCACGCGAGGAGCATTATACAAGTACAAAAGCATGGAAAACGTTTTACCTTGTTACTTGCACCCTTTGATTCAATTCTATCTATTTCTGCGGGTAATAAAACATCAAGAGTGTAGAATCTACCTTCTACCTGAGCTTAACCTGGTGAATATCCGATGACATTCCCCAAATATATTTTCCAATTCTCAAACCCTACGTCCAAAACGATAAAAATCTTCATTTAAAATCAAATTAAAGATGAGCTAGGATGGTACTTTTGGGAGGTCCTTTCATTTTCCCTGATGTGCAATTTGTTTATATAGACAAGTTTGAGGGGTTCGCTTTGCTCTCTCGATTGCAAAGGAAATTTTCATTATAAAAGATATTAACGTGATATCTGGATCATGTATTTTGGGAACTAAGTATGCAATTGGTCCTCCCAGGTTTTAAAGGAAAAACTCGAAATTGTCAATTGTAACTCCTTAAATGTATTGGTTACAATGGGTTACCAATACATTAAAGTCAAACGGTTAGATTATACTCTAAATATTAGTTAATACCTGTAATATTAGCTTCATAAGCGATTCCCACACCACATAAATCATTATTGCGTTTTCCAGCTATGACACCTGCACATTTATTACCATGTCTGTAAATAAATAGAGATAATCATAGAATTAGTTTCACTGTCTCAAATCTTTGTAATTGGCTACAAGCATACACCTATACAAGAAGGGAAACGACCTTCCCGAGTGAACTGCAACTAAAGAAATTGCAGAAAAAAAGGGTGAAAATATTAGGACCGGATTAAAATAATTTCATTTAATTTTGGCTTCAAGTATGCAGCGAACTCTCACTGCCACCATATTTATTATACCACCAGAAAACATTCGTTGTACGATTTCTGCAACAGCCTTTGGCTTCACCACATAACATAAACCTCAGATAATTTTTGCAGATTTTATGGTCTTTAAAGGAGGAGGATATGAGTCAAATTGGTATTCTTGAGCTCACAAAATCTCTTAAGTTAATTTGTGAATCAGCAAGAAATAAAACAACGGTTAAATGATGACATCAAAGCAACTGAGGCCATATGCGGAGCTAAACGAGAGCTCTGGAAAGTTACAGAAGCTGTACGTCCAAATGTTAAAAGTTTGATCTGCTTAATTGCTGCAGCTTTCTTGCATAAATCGAACAATTCTGCTTTTTCCATTCCTTTACCGCCATCACTTAGCTGAATACCTCTCTTCCACAAATAATTCTTCACTTTCCCACACTGAATTCGAGAAGTTTTCGCTCATTTCCATCACCACGGCTCTTTATTCTACATATCTATGAGAGCGCACTTAGCCTCGTTCTCGCGCCCTTACTTCGGTACCAGATCATTGAACCACGAGACATCGGAAGCGGCTATCATCGTAAATTTCGTAATGTTCGTAAACTTTGGTGGGGCTTTCGTGGTAACCCTTGAATTGACTCCGTAGACTTCGTCGATGGTCTGGCTAATTTTCGTAAATTGGGCACTTTTCGTAACTGCGTTTAATCCTGGAAATAACTCGCCATTCTTTCGCCTCTTCCCCTCTCCTAGTATTCCTTGACCAGCTTTTAATTTCTCCTTACAATATCAACCTTGAATCACACATCTAGGTCACGAGAATCAAGGAAATGATCACCAACTAATAAAGCTCTTGATTTTTAAACAAATTCTCCTTGTCAGCACCTCAGGAAATGTATCGAGAACAGTATGGAGAATATGCATACTGATGTTAGGCTGTAAAGGGATAATCAGCTTACCCTGATACTCGTGTTCCAAACGGCACCTGTTTGCCAGCCACATAATCGTAACTCAAATCCCATCTCTAAAGAAATAAAATGCAAAGTAAACAAACAGATAAATAGTAGTCAGTGATCAAGATGAAAAGGTTAAGTCCCTCTCCATTTAAACAAATTCATCATTTTTAGTATCATTTATCTAAAAAGGTCCAATTAATATTTTCAAATTGAAAAGAAAAAAAAAGAGATTGAAAAAGAGAAAGCAATAGTTACATAGTTATCTTTTAGTTCAGGATGACTGCCATCGACTCCATCATCAACAACTCCCACCACAATTCCTTTTCCTGTATAACCAGATTTCCAAGAAGAAATGACATTGAGTGTTGGTTCATTAGATCCCTCAGGTCTTTTCTAAAATGCAAGAAATATCAGAAGAGCAGGATTAAAGACCTTTGAATTACCTGTTGTTTGAAATTCAGTGAGCTTAAAGGAGATAGTCATGACAGTCCATTCCTTTTCAAAACTGAACATAGTTTTCCTTGCCAGATGAGATGACTGGAAATATTGCCAAGAAAGGCCTTTGATATGGCCAGAAAATCATTAAACTCACAAACTACAATTGTCAATCGTGAATACAAGTAGGTCACATAGCACTAAATATAGTAATGGATTATCATTACCATGCCAGTAATTATCATCATCATCACTTATGTCATTATCATCGTCATTAAATTGTTACAATTTTCACTGTTATTATCATCTTTATCGCAATCACCATGATCATCATCACTCTCACTGTTATTCTCACTGTCACTGTCATTAAAATCATCATCGGTACATCCAATGGTAAAGTGCAGCTTAAGGATGAGGGAACATCTATACCAGTTCCATACGCACAAATTTACATGTAAGTGTATGCACATGTTGACACATGAGTTTGAAAATGCATAAATACAAATTAAACAAATGCTCCTGAGAATAGACGCATGTGCTCCTCTGTCAATACTACACTATACATATGCTCTTACTTATAAACGCATCTATGTACATTTAACATGCATATTTTGGTCCCCTTATCTATTAAATGTGGTGGTAGACATAGGTTGTAGTGAAAACAAAGACCTCCGAAATTAACTTAAGATCTTTAAGACCTAAGACCCGAAACCGAAGACCCCTTCATGATCTTGAGACAGGAAGTTCGCATCATCATCATGGCTTCACCAAAGAAAACCAGTGAAAAGACTGACAACCTCTCTGTTCACAGCGTTAGGCAGCGTGATCATTCATCAGTTGAACAAAAGCAGAATTGCCTAAACCAGAATTCACTTGTTTTCGTTTCTTTTAATTCCTATTTGTTTCTTTCTTAATTTGTTTTTGAAAAAGCTAGTGCCCTTCAAAATTTCCCAGCAGTCCTCATTATAAAAAAAGGATCAGAGCTTGCTGATGTGGACTTTTCACCAGGCTGACACAAGCTGGTGTTACAGCATCGCTCCTCATTCATACTAGCACGACATATGGGATAATTTCTTCTTTTCAAAGTTTATTTGGTTTTGTCAAAACTGTATCGGCCAAGGAAGCTCTGGAGAGATTTTTTCATAAGGATTTCGGAATTATACCTTTCTTGTACTAGGCACTTACTTTGTGGTAAGGGTGAGGCAATGAAAGATGTGTTTTATCACTTTCTTTATTACTAAGTAAAGAAAAGAAGGGGTCTTAGTTTTCGGGTCTTTTTCTTTTTCTAGTCTTCATTTTCGGGGCCTTTTTACTTAAAATTGGCGTTTGATTGCATAATTTATCGCTATTAGAAAGATTAAAAGCAGGACTGGATATTCCCGGCAAGAAACCATTACAAGATCATAATATATAAAGAAAACAAAGGGGTCTTCATTTTCGGGTCTTCCATCTTAGGTCTTAGTTTTTGGGGGTCTTCGTCTTTGCCACAGCCGGTAGACACAGTAGTAATAACATATTCACAGACCAAATAATGAAAGGAAAATTAACTTACAATATACCACATCTCATGAAGTTCTGGGTTTATCTCTAATAGCTTATACTTTTTCTCTTTCTGATGCATAAACCATTCAACCTGAATATAAAGAAAATAACGAATGATTTATGAATTATCAAGATTTAATGAAAGTTCTTTGGAAAGGAAAAAAAATACCAGAGTCTCTGTGGCCTGACTTACTCTTAGAGATCCAGGTTCATGGTAGGGTTGATTGCAGTTTTGGAACATTAACCTCATAAATGTAGGTAAAAGTAAGATCAGGAAATTCATGTGAGTTTAGAGACTCGAACAGTATCTGTTGTAAAGGATAGTTTTGACTTTCAATCTTCCATGCAAGTTTCCGTAACAAATCTACCACATCTCACGAAGTTCTGGGTTTATCTCTAATAGCTTATACTTTTTCTCTTTCTGATGCATAAACCATTCAACCTAAATATAAAGAAAATAACGAATGATTTATGAGTTATCAAGATCTGATGAGAATTCTTTGGAAAGGAAAAAAAAAATACTAGAGCCTCTGTGGCCTGACTTGCTCTTAGAGATCCAGGTTCATGATGATGTTGTTTGAAATTTTGGAACATTACCTCATAAATGTAAGTAAAAGTGAGATCAGGAAATTCATGTGAGTTTAGAGACTCGAACAGTATCTGTTGTAAAGGATAGTTTTGACTTTCAATCTTCCATGCAAGTTTCCAAAACAAATCTATTTTTCATGAATGGAGCACCTGATAATAACAACTTTGTCAAATTAAGTGACTGCACTTACTCGAGTTCAAGTAAATCATGCTTATTATAAGCATGTGTTTTAAACATATAAATCGCACAGTACATTTGAAGTTAAAAGTATGGCAGCATTACCAGAGCTGTTAAAGAGAGCCTGCAGGTAGCTATCATCTTTTGTACGCTGAATTCACTTTCACCTTACTTTACAAATATTTTTGACAAAGAAAAGAAACCCAGGATGCCATGAAAGAAATGCGCACAGCAGCCATTCCCCAGTTGTGAATTAAACTGATTGCATAGTTGAACTGTATTAAAACTGAGAATCCATTCCAAATTATATTATATCAATACAAACACCGATCACAATAAACTGATCACAAACTATCAACCAGATAAGTGTTGAGAATAAAGAAAAATATCAATTTGTGGATAACTAATTGATCCAACTCTAAATTCTCTGAACTAACATGATAAAAATTGTATGGTTGACAGAGAGGAGAATTAAAAACTTCATCTGGGAGTTAAAGGTTTAATCATTAGAATGGCAAAATTTTCCTTCCCTAAAATAGTTTTAATGAATCTTCGTCGTGCTCTCACGTGACAAGAGATGGTATGCGAGGGAGGTATGAGGAACACTATTACGCACGCGTTTCAATGCGGGAGAAAAACCGCTGGATTTTGAGCGCGGAAGTGGGCGAGTATTTCAGTCAGTAGTTATAGAGAGGAGGTTCTGGCGCATTTTGAAAACAGCCTTGAAATCAAGGCAACCCATGAATTTTACCTCAAAAATCAAGATTGATTTTAATCTTGATTTCAAAGAACAGTTCTAGCGCATTTTGAAAACAACATTGAAATCAAGTTGTTGGAGAGATCTGGAATACAATGACGTCACAGAAGTATAAAGCCTTGCGCGCTTACGAAATTAAGCCACCAGTGACATGGTAACATAGAGCACAACGAGGATATGCAATTCGACGAAACAAATTTAATCTCAACTCAATCTGCAAGACAAGTACCACCGCAAAGACCAGTGCAATCAGTAGCTGAGATTCTTCAAAAAAATTTAAAGAAAAGATGCGTTACCCAAGAAGATCTTAGACATCTTATGAAAGAAAGTGAAAGAATTGCATTCTGGGTTTCAAAGACATCGTTCCTTGAACAACAACTTAACGGAAACACAGAAGAACTTGAGAGAATGCGTGGACGTATGGTTGCGGATTGTTTGTGTGAATATTAGAGAAGTGGACATCATTTGGTTATGTTACGCTAAGCGTAACTTAACTATCATGAACTGTTGTTTTTTCTGTACGTATTCCATGTTATTCATACCACTTGTCCTTCTCCTTCTGGAGTCGTAAGCGCCCTCTTTTCACAAGATAGACGTTCTGATGCGGCTTGATATCAGTCGAAACGACTTGTATTAAACGAATTGCTTTCTTTTTTTGTGAAATTTTATAAGCTCGTTCTATTAACTCATGATTTAAACCAATTTCATAAGCGATTTATTCCTTTTTTTAACTTTTATTTAGGCGTTAACTACGGACGAGCAATGGAATCTGGAGCTACCGACCATACTGGCTGGAACAAGAAGCGAATTAAACAGTATGTATTGGATAGTTTGGTATTTGGTATTGATGTAAATTTTTAAGTTAAAAGCCTACTTTATAAAATAATTCAAATAGTACGCGCGCTCTGATTGGCCATAAAACCATTTTACATGAGCCTATGTAAACACGGTTTTCGTTCCTCTTTCATTAGTTATTTTATAAAAGAAATGTAAAATGGTTTCCGCGTTTACAATGCCTGTTGTAAACACTTGGGAGGTTGGGAGAACACTCGATAAGTGGTTTCCTACGCTTATCTCGTGTTCTCCCAACCTCCCGCGTGTTTACATCAGGCTATGTAAACACGGAAACCATTTTACATTTCTTCACTGTAGTATAGAGCGCCTATAGATACCGATTCATAAGCATTTAAGCATAGAGAAAGCACACATGTCTCTTCAAGATGCCGTAGACAAAGAATCGTATGTAAATGACAACATCCAAAGACCTTTTCTGAGGTGAAACAGCGGCACAGTATAAAGAAAACCACAGCAGCCACCGGCCCTGAAGGAACTGGGTCTAATGAAACTCCAGTCTCACGTGACGTGATTCCATGGGGTGGAGAAGACTTCCAAAATAAAGAAAACAACGAGGGAATCATTACTGGTATACCTGTGGTAGCCCAGTCATAAAACGCCTTTGTTTTTTTGTCGTCTGTTTTTTTTCCTCCACCACAAAATGGAAAAATTGCGCAATAGTACCCAGTGGTCATTGGGCTCTCAACACCATGATAACTAACTGTGATCCAATGAGGGTGAAAGTGTTCACATGCTGAACCCTGTGTGTACTGTGCCAATTTTATCATGGAATAAGAAAGATGGTCAGAGTTCTAAGTTCGGTAAGGAAATAGAGGATAAATCACTGTATTTTTGGATACAGCGGTCGATATATCGGTGGAGAGTCGGTCATATCTCGGTGGTGTATCGGTCAACTGTTGGTGATATATCGGTCAACTGTCGGTGGTATATCGGTCAGCTGTCGGTCGAATGTCAGTGTTGAGTATCGACCAAGTGTGTTCATTTAGCAGTTCAATGGCTTTCTTTTTAAGCGATGACGTCATCAATTAATGTTATCATGCGATGGAAGAAAATGTTTCGGTGTGAGGCTAGACTGCGAGCAGTCTTTCTTTTGCTCGAAAATCCGTGGAAATGAGAACGCAAAACAAGTTAGCGTACGAGCGTAAATGTAAGCGAATGACGAAGCTGCGAGCCGCGAGTAGCACAAGCGTCGGGAGACGAACGAAAAGGGAGACTGTGACATTACTGATGCTCATTGACATTCATCTCGAACGATGCATAGATCTAGTATCGGCCGACTCTCGACCGATATATCGACCGATTGTTGACCGATTATTGAGCGTTACATCGGTCAAGTATCTGACTATGGATGTCGACCATGACCGAGTGTCGATCAACTATCGACTGATACTCGGTGAGTTGCCGGCGAGGTATCGGTGAAGTAATAATGGTAATAGAACAAAGTGGAGTCCAATTCAATCTGTTATCATACTTGTAAGTGATTAACAAAATTGGACAACTTCAAAACGGGAGTCCAATTTGTCAATCATAGGTATGATTACAGACAGAATTGGACGACGAGAAGTCCTGTTACCAATTAATCATAATTATTACAATTTCCCAAAACCATAGATACATTTAGGTGAAGTATCTCCAGTAGAGACAATGTCGCAAGTTAAAAAAGTTTCTCCATTTTGGAAATTCCTCAGTTTTTTTAGAATAGGTGGTTGTTGCTATGGTTATTGTGATAAATTATTGATTAGCAAATTAGGCTTTAGATTCTTAAGAATTCCCAGTTCAGATTTACCATGAAAATTCACACCTCTTATTCCCAGGAATTCCGAGGAAAAAATACCTAAGAATTCCTAAGAATTCCAAAATCCATTTCACAAGGGTAGTTATGGGGAACCAGTTGTGCCAAAAATGCATACATCAATTGCTAGTGATAAAACTCAATCGTTAGTGCTAAAATATCAATCACTAGTGATAAAATCTCAATCATTAGTGCTGAACCTCAAACGCTTGTGTTTTATACTATCGCTTGACACTACCTATGATTGGCCATCTACAGTGTACCTCAGGACACGAGCGATTTATAATTAGCCCTTTTAATTGGAGTCTCACAGTGGCATTTGGTGTGAAAACACAATAGATTGAGGTTCAGCGCCAATTATTGACCATTTTAGAATGGAAACTAAATTGATTTACAATAACGAGTTGTTGGTAGCACTAATGATTGAATTTTATCACAAGTAATTGATATTTTAGCATTAACAATTGAAGTAACATTTTAAAAGTCATACCCTTTTACTTTATTCCTTAAATAAGCTGTTCTTCCTTTTACAAAATCATAACTTGCTGATAAATTCTAAACATGCAAGACATAAAAAGAATAAAAAGTTTCAATAACTAATTAATGCATCTATCAACCAATATGATTTGTTATCATAAATTGCAACTGTCAGTTACAGTTTACATTTTCACAAATGAGGCTTATTGTGATCAGTGTATGTTGTGGAATGTGAGCAGGGCCTTAAAGGGGTATGTTAATTTGCCTCACGTGATGAGTTTCATAAAATAATGTGAGTTTGTGGTCAGAAAAATATCAGCTAGGGGTTTATTAGTTGATCCAATACCAAATTCTCTGAGCTAACATCATAAGAATTGTATTGCAGATAGTAAGGAGAATTACTAATAGTATCCTGGAATGAAAGGGTTACACTGTAAGTGCTAAAATGCCTAGATCCACAACTTCAAATACCTTAGTTTGTTAAGGTAATGTTATTCTGCATTCTTGGAAGGTACTCAAGAGCTTCATGGGAATATAATCTGCAAATGTGCTTTTGTTAAATGTTTAATGAGGCTTTTGTTGTCCTAACAACAGCTATTTATTTGCCCAAGATGATAATTTTTCCAGTCCATTAAATCTTAAAATGTACTCTAGCTACTTGCTAATGATCATTTTTATTAAAATTGATATGTTTAATTATACAATTTAAGATGTGATTATGCAATTATATAATCAAACAACTGGTGGAAATATTGAATATATTTTTTAATTTTCGATTGTCTAAACGAATGTAACATTTTTCAATAAGGCAATGTCTTACCTTTGGTTCTCTTGATAACTTAGCATCAACCTCCAATGATAATTCACCCTTCCCTGGCCTTTTCACAAATCCCAGTTTTTTGAACAAATAATAGTCCTCAAACAGCTGAAAGCATCAATTTTGGTAAACTTAGTCACTTATGCTATACTTTCACACCACCTATTTTAATTGAACATGTCCAGAAAAGGACTGAAGATGATTATCTCCAGAAACAAGACATATCTTTACTGATGAGTAAAGATAAAAATTATTGTTTTTGCAACACCTATTCAGAAGATCTGATCAAAAAAATTTAGTCTCCAGGAACACCTTAAAATTTCTCTGTCAAGTTTCAATTGAGTCTGCTATTCACCTACATGACCGTAACATATATTTAACAAAGAACTGTAGAGTTCAATCAGTATGCACTCTTGCATTAAGAAAGGCTCCAGTACATGAATATCGCAAAAATATTACACGGCCAGTCCATAAGAAATATAAAAATCTCGAACAGCAGTGGTCAGCACCCTATTAGATTAAGTAAACAAGCTTGATAAATTTGAATTTGATTAAAGCTTATAAATACCTGATCTCCAGTGTTATTTGTTCAACACTCCCTTGCCTTGAAAATAATTTCGCGTTTAACGCATTTATGCGAAGGGTATTTTTTAAACAACGCAAGCGGCGAACGCTTTTAAAGAATGACACAGTTCATTCTCATAGCCATATTCAGAACCTTGATTATTTCAAAGACTGAAATCAGTGTTTTCAATTTTACAGTAAAGTGGTTTACCTGTTCGAGTGGCTTAGGCGATCATATCAGTTTCGTGTAAACTCAACAAGTGTCAATATAAAGATGGCTACTTAATAGCGGCTTGCTATGTACTTCGCAAACTTCGCGAGGAAAAACAAATTCAGTCTCTGTCTGCTGTGGTCAAAATTTCTCGATCAAGATTTCTTTTTGAAGCTCTCAAAACTCTCTGTTTTGAAAGATACGAATCCAAGTCGAAGAAGTTTCGCGAAAGACTTAAATCCCTAAACTTCCACCGCAGTACGTGCAATAATTCTCTGCAATTTCATTGACACATTTCGAACAGGGTTCATTTAAACCTTCGCGGCCCAGGACAGCTTCATAAAGCCATTTTTCAATTCCTTTTTATTCGCTTTTGAGTTTTCCGCCATAAAATCTCACGTTGTTTTAACTAAGTCGAACCAGACACTCTCGAGGGCAACGTTAAAAAGGAATATGTTGATCCTTCAGGGTTCAAAATCCAACGGTTATGCCATTTTTCTGGAATACACACGCCTTTTTTTAAACAAAATTGAGTAGTATTTTTCTCACATTAGTTACATGATATTTAAGATCTTAGTCCCCAGCAGAGGGAAACACAAACTTTAAGCATTTAGCCTTATTAGCCTGACTACCAATCCTCTTAACCTTCCGTCAAAAAAGAATATCTCTAAGGGTTAACGTGTCGTCAATTGCGGAATGACAATCTTCTAACCTTCCGTTAAAAAAAAATTTCTCTAAGGTCAGTTAATGTGTGTTCGGTTGCGGAATACTAGGGGTTATACACAAGACGGTAGCCCGAACAAAAGGGAGCATACTACACGGACTCAATGATGAAGCCGTTACTAAAGTAAAACTCACATGTTTGTCGTAAGAAAAACCATGTCTATGGGCCAACTCCTCAGCTTCTTGTTGACTGCCACGAACTTTTACAGCCCACAAATTCGTAAAAATTGCATCGGCAATAACGCCATTTCCGTAGTACAAGATTATGAACAGGACACAAGAAAAACGACTAACGATGGGGAGAGTAGAGGAAGAATAGCACGCCATTATCGCTTCTGTAAGTTTGACGTTGAGTCTATTACAAATCCGCATCCAATTGGCTTGTTAGCTCAGTTGGTAGAGCGCTGCACCGGTATCGCAAAGGTCATGGGTTCAAATTCCATGCGGGCCTGAATTTTTTCAGGTCCTATTTTCAACTACTAGTTCAGTAGTGTTCTTAGCTGCGAGGATCTCTCAGATTCGTTTCTTCACCGCAGTGCAAATATATAAATTTCATATATCTAAAATCATTATTCATCACTTGAATGGTTTATTTGGACCCAACATATTGTCTAGCTCCCAGTGGGCTTGTTAGCTCAGTTGGTAGAGCGCGGCACTGGTCTAGCATTGTCATGGGTTCAAATCCCATACGGGCCTGAATTTTTTTCAGGTCCTATCTTCAACTACTAGTTCAGGAGTGTTCTTGCCTGCGAGAATCTCTTAAATTCAAATCCGCACGTATTAACCATTTAACTCCCAAGATCTAATTGTTAATTCTCCCCTCTAGCTGCTACACATTTCCTTGTATATAAGTTGCGAGAATTTGGTTTTAGATCAAAATATCAACTTCTACCTGATACATTTAGGTATTCTCATTACCTGTTTGCTGGATAGCGGATGGATATTGTAGGGAGAAGTTACTTGTTAATCACTTCTGGGAGTTAATGGGTTAAAAGATCAATCTTAACCATTACAATTTCCTCAAATGTGATTGGTGCATCAGCTGCTTCATTATTCACAAATCATTCTGAACAGTTGTATTCGGGCAAGTGGCTGTAATCGGACAGTTGAAGCAGCCAATCATATTAAGTCCACTCAGCTAAATCCACCAATCACAGAATTGATCACAATAACCATAGCAACAACCACAATAGCCGTAGCAACAACTTGCGTGCTAGCGACATCAATAGAAATATTGTTTACGCTGATAAGAGTTGTTGCCGGACCCAGCGTTCAAGTTCCTTTATTTCATTCGCTTGTAAATATGTGAATATGTAAATATGTATGTATTTGTTCTAGGTTTTCCCTCGCCACCGCAACAACAATACAGCGGCTGGAAAACAGTTCTAACAATGAAAACACTGCAAAAAGCACGGCTTTTTGGTTGCTGGTTTGGAAAAAGTGGTGTTTAGAGCAGGGAATTGCCAAGGAAATCAAAAATTACGAGCCGACTCAGCTTAACACTGTGTTCGAGCGATTCTACGCCGAAATTAAAAACAAACATGGTTAAACCTCGCAAACGACGATTCCATTTCATCGAAATTGATTCCCACACAGACAAAACAATTCCTTCAACTATTTAGCCGGACTTTGAACTTTTTTGCGCCTTATAGATGTAAAAATATTGGGGATTCCTAGGCGTGGGAAATTCTATCAGGATCCCGGTTTAAAACACACTTCAGACATTTTCCATGTGCTCACAACAAAAACCTTTATTATTCGTTCCAGTCCCCGCACAGGGGTACGCCTGACGCTTACAAAAAAAAACCAAACAAACGAACGATCGCATGTTCATTCTTTCCCCCCCCCCCCCCCCGAAGAGCGTCTCCAGATCCTCAGCTCTTCTCTCTAGGGCATGTACTCTGACTGGCCTGCAACGTTCAACGTTTAAAGTGGTTAGGTGTCAACACTGGCTCGCGGGTCAGCTCCTTCATACGTCAATGGTCTCGAGTTCATCAATGCTTCTACTTCCTTGATAGCAGTCTGCAGCTCGTCGTCGGTTAGCCCAGCATTTCCAACTATTACTTTCAGAGTTTTCTTTGCTACTTTAACCAGCGACTCAAACACCCCACCAAAGTGCGACCCCAGCAGAGGATTCCAATTCCATCTGAGCCCGTTATCGGCAACATTACCTGCGATCTGTTCCTGGTCCATTGTTTGAACAAGTTCTCTGAGCTCTCTCTCTCCGCTCCTACGAAGTTTGTCTCATTATCACTTGTCACTTCTTCTGGTCTTCCCCTGGTGGCTACCATTCGGCTGAACGTATTCAGGAAATCTGTGGTGCTCAATGAACATGCCATTTCTAGATGCACCGCTCTGGTTGCTGAGCACGTAAACGGGCACAAATACCTTTTATCAGAAACTCTTCGAGTAATCTTGGTCGTGAAGGGGCCAGCGTAATCAACACAGCACTTTGCAAACGCTCTCATCGTTGCTCCAACTCTCGTCCTTTGAAGCGGTGCCATGATCTGCACTGATGGCTGTACACGTCTTCTCTCACACACCTCGCATTCTTTGTCCAAGTTCTTCACTTCCTGGCGACCATCTATAACCCAGTATCAGTTTCGTACCTGAGCTAGCACGTGGTTGACGCCCGCATGTCGGCAACGGTCATGGACGTCTGCAACAGTTAATTGCTTGATGTGACGTTTCTTTGGCAAGATCATGGGGTGTGCTGCATCATAAGATAGTTCTGCTTGGTCCAATCACCCTCCGACTCGCAATATACCTAGCTCATCCACAACAGGGGTAAGAAGTTTCAAGTGACTCTGTCTTCTGACTTCTTTTCCTCCAATTAAATCTTTTATCTCTTCAGGAAATCTCTCCTCCTGTGTTTGTTTCATCCACAGTTTTCCACCTCTGTCTATTTCAATTGGCGTCAATGTAAGTCCGCTCCTGGCGACGACACCTACAGGTTTGCCTTGTTTCTTCACTTTAGCCAACAATTGATCAGCAAAACGTCTCACCCATACTGTGACTCTTCTTAGTCGCTTCCAACCGGAATACTTTAGTGGATTCATCAACGGTTGTGAAATCTCTAATGCGAAGGTCATCTTCGGTTTGACTATCTCTCATTATCAAAGCCACTGAATACGTAACTTTCGGTTCTTCTTTCCGTATTTTGTTTTCTTTCCCCTTCTAGGAAAGTTTGAACGTCACTGTCCGTTAGTGATACGGATTTTTCAGTGTTTTAGCAGCCATAATCCGGAAAAATTCCGACAAAAGACCTTGGAATGAGAATGGTGAAGGCTTCGCCGTTCATTCATGAACCTGACCGAGTGGTGCGAAAGGCGAGCTCTAATTTAACCAAAATATTGTTTTTGCAAAGGAATTTTAGCAAAGACAATTTTAAAAATATTTGAAAAACGATGATGGCTGTGCTTCAAAAACCATTATTTGATAGTGTAGCACTATCAGCTTAGCATTCCACGACAATTACTCCCGACAGGTGTTACAACTTTTCTCACAAAAGTTTGCAAATCGTTTATCGGCTTGAGCATAGGGACACCCACTTGTCGCAGAAACCATCTGGGCGATCGTTCTCTCAAGCTGAAAGAAGATTTCAATAAACGTCAAGAAAACAATCGAAAACTTTTAGAAAAACAGAACAGGAAATATTTGAAAAAGTAGCAAAGTTACATTTCACTTCCTTAAAAATTCAATTGATATACAAGTCAAGTTTCATTATGGTTTTCCACAGGATTGCGGGAGCGGGTCCATACGGGTATTATGATTAGTGAAAGTATTTTGGTTCCCAACTGGCCTGGCAGTTACTTAATTAAGGCGAACGTCTGAGTAATGTGCAAGTTTTAGTCTTCAGCCTCTCACTTAAGACCCCGTGAAAAATAGAAATAGTTATTTTGTTACCTGGACAATTTACATTTCTGTTGCACATCCTCCTTTGTCGAGCTTGTCCCAGTCTCCGGTGTTGCTAGCACGTTTTTCCTCCAAATTTTGGCGCAGGATTGGTACGTGTTCGAAAGCGCAACTGAAATCCTATTCCGCATGACCTGCTACACTTACTCCATGTACTCCATGAAGAGTAACCTCCGTCAACTGATAAGAGAAGTGTTATGATACCATTACTTGAAAAATGAAATATTCTCTAGCGCTTACAGTGCATTTATCATAGGGCATCCACTAACTGAGGAAGAAGTGTGAAAAATAGCTGATGAATGAAATCAAGTAGTCTCTGGCTAGTGCCTACAACAAGTTCATTGTAGTTCCTGCATGATGCATTCGGTACGTGGCTCGATCTTTGGAATGGGTTTAACGCCATATTGAATATTATTGTGTTCATTCCTAGCTGTGTTCTATGCCTCTGAACTAAACAAATTAACTGCTGTTGCTCGCAAAAGAAAGGAATGTCTTGAAAAAAAAAACGATTCTAAGATCAGATAGAGAGAAAAAATCAAAGCTTAACTAAAATAAAGATGACAAACCTGTTAAAAAACAGTGATTAAATGCTAGTGTAAATTTTTCCGCACGTAACAATCAGCTGAGCTGTCACATGGTGAAATTTTTTAAAGTCGAATCATTCAGAGAGTTCTTGGTTAATTTCGGTCTGAAATTACGAATGCATCGGCTTGGAAATTAACTGCTTACTGTTAGGGTTTGTGAGATACATGACTAAAATCTCTGTAACAGCCGTCAATTCGATGTCAATTCCACGTTTTATTCGATCCGATCAACTACGCTCAGCACACCGTTCGAATACAATACCGTACAAGAAATCCTTACAAACAAGCAATTGTCTCTATCCGTAACCTTGAAAACTGCTGAAATATCCGTAATGCTTCCGTAATGTTCTATTCCTTCGATGTGAGACTAGTTAAACGATCCTTATCCGAGAAATAAAGGCGAAAATAACAAGCGATAAAAGCACATATATGCCGAGGTTTGACCTAGTGTCGAATGACAACACCTCGGCGCAGACTGGGCCTAGTGCACAGGACACCTAGCATTTACAATCTCTACATCCTTAAGATTTAGCTATATTTGATAGATTTTTTTCTATCAATTCGATCGTTCTTCTCTTTTCTGGATGAGTGAACTACAAGGAAGTTAATTAGCAAGTCGATATTTTTCTTGTTTGCGATAAATTAAACGCACATTTTTCTGTGCTTCTAAATTTTATTGCGACAGTCTTGCAAGAACCTATTCTCAAAATCCCCATGTCCATGTCTTGTTTTATTTTTGTGAGAGGAATAATTTTTACCTGGGCAACGAATTCTTTAACAATCCCTTGACCGTTGACTAGATCCGATACAACCTCGTCCGTTATTTGCCGGTGGAGGATTGGTACAAGACCGAGAACGAGTTCGAGTTCCCCTCCCGCATGATTTGCTCCAAGGAGACCACCAACGACTCCATTGTGACCAGCCTCCATGAACTGGGATATCTGAAATTAGTATCGATGCAAGCAAAGTAACGGATGACATCTAAAAAAAAAATCATTTTTTTTTTAAATGTTGAATTGAATAACTCAGTATCACCGAAAAGTCTCTCCACCCTAGAAAAAAAAACATCATTTTTCAGCTTTGAAGGATCAATGTATCGGCGTTGGAGAAAACGACAAGAAGAGATTTTAAATTATTGTGGATTATTACATTAATAATACACATACACAAACTTTTGAATGTGCAAGTCACTCCCAAATATAGTAGAGAGTGAAATTTAGCCCAGAAGATCATTTTGATTGACAGTATGGTGCCCAATTGCGGTGTGATGAAACCAATTGGGCGCCAATTTTGGTAGGCCTAAAAAGGAGAAAAAACAGTTGGATTTATAAACAGTTTGTACCGTTAATCAAATGATTTCGGGTACACTTTGGGATTAATCAGCACAATAAAATATTTTAAAAAATTTACGAGTGCCAGTTTATCCCAAACTGCACGAGGAAAATCATGTGATTACAAGTTAATAATATACACGCAAAAATATAACTCTGTGTTCCTTTTAAGTGGTCTTTATTTCGTGTCATGGCTCATCCGTTCGGCCGCTTGCCTTAGCCTTTTTGCCTGAGTAGTCGGGCTTTTTCGCCAAGAATCCACTTCAAACTTTTAAAACCTCTCTCGAGAATAATTAAGCGTAATTATTCTTTCTCTGTTAGGTATCGGTTGACAGCAGTAACTATAAAACGAAAACTGTCACTTCCGTAATCTTCCCCGTCTTTCGTACGCAGTGTTGCGTAAAACTCCTCGAGAATTTCATTCAGGGGATCCGGTTCATACTTTCATATCCGTTTTTGAAAGCCAGACTTAAAGCCAGTTATTTTTTCTTTGGTTGGGTGCCTTTATTTTTTGTATTCTCCCTTAAACTCTTAATAAAAACGTTGTTTATCATATAAACTTCGGTGTCAGACAGGGATTTCCAGCCTTGAGAAAAGCCATAACAACACATGTGAAAAAATACGATATTTTTCCAAGTGTGATTCATATCGCCAATCAGCTGCTGACACGTCACTCGCCTTTCGCGCCACCCGGTCAGGTTAATGAATGAAAGGCAAAGCCTTTACCATTCTCAATCCAAAGTCGTTTGTCGGAGTTATTTCAGATTATGGCTGCTAAAACACTGAAAAATTCGTATCGCTTATAGACAGTGACGTTCAAACTTCCCAAGAGGGGGAAGAAACCCAAAATAAGCAAAGAAAAACCGAAAGTTACGTATTCAATGGCTTTGGTAATGGCATTTCTCATAGCAGAGAACTGGACGAATTCCTACAGGCCGAGTTTGGCTGTGTACCTGAAAGATTTCTTCTGTCGGTAAGGACGAATGTAAAACCTGAGAATTTGTATATTGAAAATTAGGCCCATTGTTTGTTTTTGCAGTAATTCAATGCATGTTTTCTACTTCACGATTTTTATTCGAGGATAAAATAATAACAAAGCCGGCTTCTCCTGTCAATAAAGGGCTAGTGTATTTTTATGATAAATAAATAATACATGATTGCTTGTGGATATGAAATTTCTCTTCTCGTGTTCAATTCAAATCTCACTAGTGGCATGGGCTGCGCTCACTCGTGAGCTATCGAGTTAAACACTCGAAGAGAAATTCCATATCTACGCGCGCCCATGTATTATTCTGTTACTTTCTCCACACGTGTCCGCCATTTTGTTTTGTTATACTTTTGCGACGCACCTGTCAATCAATTTAATTTCAACTTTCTGCTCTGTTAAGGATTACTTGACGTGTCCTCAGTTAATGAGGAGAAATTATCAGCGCCCAATAATGGAAACAGGTGCATCGGCCGTGTCTGCGAAAGGAAAGTCGCAGGCATCAAGAAAGAGACAGGAATAAAGCACAGACACCTTAAAGTTGACCATCATCATGATATTATACTAAATTACCCCTGGAGAATAATGGCTTTGGCCGTGATACGCCGATTTGACTTAACTTGAAGGGAAAAAAGTGGGACAAACACTGATTAACTCCTTTAGAGTTTGTTAGGGCTACAAAATTCAAGGCTCGATGCGATACATCCAATAGCAATATCTCCTGTGTAATCGTCGCGTGGTTGTAGAGTAAACACTTACCTTTCGGTGGTCCTACCTAAAGATTGTTTCTCTGGACTTTCCTAAGTGATGAGTCTGGAACTGAAAAATTGGTGAGAGTGAGGTAATCTTCCAAAGAATAGTAGAAATCAGAGAGTGTTTTTTTAATGCTGTATACGGCCTTTTTTTGTAAGGCGGTTTGTCTCTTTTTGTCCATTTTCCGCATTCCTCCGCACTTCTCGTAATGATCGAGAAGGAGAGGAGCGATCCACAACAAAACCAAACTTTTTAGGCAGCAGAGTTACAGATTGAGTATTCATAACACTTTGATTGTTAATTTTCCCCTACAGATGCTACACATTTCTATGTAAATAAGATAATTTGGCTTTATCAACTGAATCCATAATGCAGAGAGCTATTTGTTACGAGAATTTGGTGTGAGATCAAGATAAATTCTTATCACCAGTTTGATGGATAATGTATGGATATTATAGGGAGAAGGTACATGTTAATCGCCTCTGCGAGTTTCAGGGTAAATTCATTTAAAGAGGAGATATTTGGTCAAAATTGAGAGTTTTGGTCTTTTAAACATCTCACGCCTTCTCGGAGAATTACTTCCACACCAGGCTCACACCGTTAGCCGCCAAGATAACAAAAAATAAATTTGCGCTGGAAGGGGGGGGGGGGGGATGAGGAAGATCCTTGCCTTTGATCTCCTTTCACGTTCATGATCAGCACTCGAATCCAAACTTCTTGGTCCTTACAGAGACAAAGCGCTCCTCTTCAATGCAGCACACTGAAGCACAAAACATCAATCCACTACTAATTTCTGATCATCAGAGAAGTTAATATGTAATTTATTTCTAGTTTTCTTCATAATTATCAACTATATCCACGTTTGACGCAGTTTAAAAGCCTTGTGACGCTTGCGACGAAAGAGGAAACTTCGAGGGGTGTCGCTATGCGTGTTTTCTAAGTGTCGCTGATCACGATCGTAAACTGAAATTGCAATAATATTATAACGAAAGCATGAATCTAATTGAATTGGTGCAAAAGGCATGAAAGAAACGCTTTACGTGCTTATGTCGATAACGCGATTAAAATAACAACAATCAACGTGAATTAACATAAACAAATCATAAAAGGCTAAATTAAAACTACTCGAGATTCAAAGATCGGCTACACAATGACCATTTGCGGCTGATTAACAGCCCAAAGACTAAAATGTGGGCGTTACTTTGTGAGCGTCTAGTTATTTCAAAATACTCCTTGATTTCAAGATAATTAGTTGTACTGTTGTACAACACAGTACATATGTGCGCTATCGCCCAAGGTGAAAAACTAAACTTAAACATATTGAAATAAAACTAACAAAATCACTTACATATCGGTCCCGCTTGTGCCAAAGGTTTGGAACGAAAGACGAAGTTATTGCTGTTCAAGGTGAAATCTTACGAAACTCTGGCTTATAGGGACGCTAATTTAGATTTTATATGCGCGTGGTGACGCTAAAATATCCGATTACAAACCAATAAGGAAAAAGATAAACATTGTAACTAAGATCGTAACTAGGCACGCAAATTAAAGTAATTGACAATTGATCTAATCAACAAAAAAGGCTGTTCTTTGTTCGATATCCTTAACAAGCCTTTTTTACGGATATAACGTGTTCACAGTACATTTTGCGTCAAGGCACCCTGTAAAATTTTTCAAAATTGGTGCTTTCAATGTGCTATAAATATCATGGGCTTTTCAAGAAAACACTGCGGCCATATGAAATTAATTAAAGAAAGCATTACTACAGCGTCTAACCTAGGCTCATGCAATTCTTTGTTTCTCCTCAATTTTAACCAAGTAAAAGGTTGAAATTAATTTTTTCGGGGCTTCCAAGCCTCTGACTTGGGCAATTATTACTAAAAATTTAAGTATCTGGTGAAAGTTAATCTAAATATCACGGTTTTTTCCGTTAGTTTTCTTTCCAGTTGCCCAGAATTTTCGGACGACCCGTGAAAAATAATTCGAAATATCGTAACGCTGGCCACAAAATTCCTACGGCACAATTAATCTGACATGCACAGTGATTCCAAAAACAATTTACCAAATACAACTTTGAAGAATCAAGTTTACATAAACGTTTCAGGTTTAGCTATGTTCATACGTGTTATATATTAGTTCTGATTTACTTCCTTACAACAGCATGTTCCAATTACTGGGGGTCTCGGTAGCCTAAGTTTAGGTCATTTCGGCACTGGGTAACTGGAGGTGGTCGCAAAAAATTACGTGCGGGGGGAAGGGATGGGAGCCTTGACAGCATCCTTTATTATTCACGTTCTGATACTTTCTGTGGAACAGCTGAAAGACACGTTGAAGCTCGGACCACTGCGATTCACTGTTCCTTGCTGCACGGTTACAGCGTTGTTATCTTGTTTTTTGTAGAATCGACAATACCAATACACAACAAACGGTATTGACATCGCAAGTAAACCCAGTACGATGAACATCACAATTTTCCACCATGATACTGTGAAAATCAAATAAAAACAGCAAAAATGGTTACAACCAGTATCAACGTCACCATTTAGCTTCCTGGATTGACACAGGGTTTTTTTGGGATGTATCATAACCAGGAAAAAATTAATCAACGATGAAGGAGATCACTGTGTAATCAATAAGTCATCAGATGAGTATTCACCGAATACTTGATGATTCATCAATGAGCAATTGAACAAAAAAAAATCTCGTAAAGCATCAACTATTAATTGATTCCTTGATTACCCAGTAGAGTAACTGGTTATGCATTACAATCCATTTGCCTCATCTGGAGATATTTTCTAATTGAGCTCCTCCAAAAGTCTTGGTATACATACTTTTTAATCGTTTCTGTATAAAGTGTTTATTTTAAAGAGTAAAACGTAAAGCTTTCTCTGATTGAGGCTCCATTATTCCAAGCGACTCTACCCTTCTCTGAGGCTCTTCCTTTGCTTGACCCCCCTCCCCCAAGGGCACCAATAAAATTACAGCTCTATCATCGCGGTCAAGCCATTCTTCGTGTTTTTATTTGGTAGTCTTAAAGTTTCAGCTTTTAGCTTCTGGTTTGGCTCTACCTCTGAGGACGGATGTACATGTATGAATAATTTCTTTTTTCAATTCTGTGAAACTATTTTTAAGGAGAAGGTAAATGCGACGAAACCTTGGCCATGCGGCTCCAACGAGGCCTCAGGGCAACTTTCCCTCAATCGTTTGCTGATTGATTAGCGCGTTTAAGGCGTTTATTTAAAACTGAAGTTTTTAGCGCCACAAAATTTAAGTTGAGATACCTTTAGTTGGTTTGGCTGTTGACAAGGGTTGTTCAGTTGGTTTGGCTGTTGACAAGGGTTGTTCAGTTGGGGTGACTGGTTTGGCTGTTGACAAGGGTTGTTCAGTTGGTTTGGCTGTTGACAAGGGTTGTTCAGTTGGGGTGACTGTTTCCATCGGTCGCGTGGGTTCCTCAGGAGGTATAGCCCGTGTCGAATCTATTTCGCTCCTCGGTTCTGATTTAAGGGGGTTTACAGAAGTGCCATACAATATCAAGGACCAGCTGTGAAGTTGACCTATGGAATAAACAGGGAAGTATTCCAAACGAACGGAAAACATTAACAATTCCGCAGTTAGGAAAACGGTATCCTCATAAAAGCTGAATTGCTTAATCTGTGAGCATGTGAAAGATTTGCTTAATCAAAATTGCGTAACTAAAGGCTAGAAATGTGAGGAAAGATACGCTCAGCTTGAAAGTACAAAGAGAGTATCTGACGTACAACTACCAGACGAAGTTTAATCTGGCATCTCTGAGGACTGAGAAAAATAAGTAACAAAAATAAAACCATCAACAAACACACAATAACTCAAAACTTTTAAAGTAAGTCATGATAGATCACCTGAACTTGGATATCGCTTGTCAAAATCATCAATTTTTAGCTCCCATTTGCCATTCGGGTCTTCTCCCCAGTGAAAAAGAGATTTAATAATCCAGTCAGTCAAGTTTCTGAATCCTTTTAAGTTGTCTATGCGCCGCTTTCGAGTCATTGGAGATGTTGTGTTACTTGGTGCTCTCAACTGCAGGGACAAGTCGCCACGGCGAGAGAAATTAAGATTGACTCTGATCTGCACGTGCTCCAGAAATTTAATTGCACAATCTTTCACTTCTATTGAAACCATTCCAGGGATTTTTCTGAAACGAAGAATTGTAAGGAGGCTAGGTTAATCGTCGTCGGTAACAATGTTTCCTTTCATATTTAATAAAAATTGCCGCCTTGTTGCTCAAAAACCCACCACCAATTTAGGAAAATTTGAGAGGGTGCTAAACGCAAATTTTACAATAACCACCATGTAGGCAAACGTATGTTTCAAAGAATGACATGTGGTACTCAAAGGGGTTAGAGCCTTTTCGCTTATGAGATTTGCGGAGAGAAGATTGCTCACTGAAACGAAAGGACGGGTAAAATAAGATCGACATTTCTTGTTTATTCAAACAAGACGTAGGAAGCCAGTAATTTTATTACTGTGCACACATTAAAATGTAAGTTTCTGCTTCCGAAAAAGGAAATTCCAAAAAATGAAATAAGGGAAAATTAACGCTCACATGTCTTTGTCACTGCCTTCGATCTCGCATTTTATCTGTGCTGGCACCGCCATCCATGTTCTTGCTAACATCACCATCATGACAGCGTCCATGAGCCCAAAGCCATAAACCCTGCTAATATTAAACCCTGCCTTGTTTTGCAGCCAATGGCCTTGTTTGAGCCACACTCCACCGGGCGCTGCTCTTGCACTGTTGGCTATGATGTGTTGGACGTCACGCCAAGTCAAATTAGAGCTGGAAGAGGAAACAAACTTAAGCATCCGTATCTTCGAATTGATTTTAATAACCTTTAACTCCAGCAGAAATTCCTCGAATTTACGCGAGTGGAATTCGTCTCAATCCCCTCGATTAGCGCCCACTCATAGAAGGGGCGTTCCACTTGCCCTTCCACACCGATTAAGACTGGGTAGTGAGGGATTCTTTAACAGCATCAAGAATAATTCACACATCTTGACGGAGCTCCAGGAACATTTGCACCTGCATACCCCCGTGAAAACTACAAGTTGGTTTTTACCTTTGGTTTCTCGCTTTGTGTTTAGTGTTATGAATGGTAGGTTTTGATTGCTTACTCTTTAAGGCGGCAGGACTTACCAGCGACAAGAGGGTGGAGGAGTTGAAGCGGCATTATGAGTCTTGGTTAGTTTTCTTAACAAAGAGGAGGTCACATGCCCCCTTAAAACCGGTGTTTCACCCCACATGCCCAAGCTAAGTTTTGACTTAAGTACGAGAGGGGTACGTTCATTCTGTGCAACTCGCCTCCTTTTAATTATGAATATTAACTCTATGACATAACAATCTTACTTTGCTTGTAGGGTCAGTGCAATCAGTCCTGATGCAATGGCAGTAGCCGCTGACGAAGCTGTGAAATCATTGACACAACCCTTTGCGTTATCAACAGTTACCTGGATGATATACGAAATTTTCATACATTAGCAGGCAGAGAGATATAGAGAATGAGCGAAATTATTAGTTTGGGGATGACGTTTGACTTAAATATCAAATTAAGTCACTTATGGTCACAACTTTAGTTGGAAAATTTCGCGTCAGGCCAAAAGAGTTTAGTGGGTCTGACGACATCGTACATATTCTCGACTCAACTGAATGTAACCGACGTCACGAGTATTTGTGTTCACTCCGCTCATTAAAAAATGCAAACATTAAAGTTACAGGAAGATGGATAGAAGGAAATGAAACTCACAGAAGACTTGCAATAAAAGAAAAGATCTGACTTCAAGTTTTCACATCTTAACGACGTTCAAACGTCGCCTTCGCAGTTTTTCTTTCCTTTCATCTATTTTTGGGTTGCAGACTGTATTGACTCATTCCACTTACAATTCCTTCACCCATGTCACTACTGTACGCGGTGGCCATGATTGCAGGACATTCTTCTGCGAAGCTGGGACGGGATCCATCTTTATTCACACCGTTGATGGCGTTAGTGTAAACGCTATTCACATAACCATCGTATGCACAGCTGTCCTCCACTATACCGCCATTTCCAGCTGCAAACGTGTAGATGGCACCTCGTTTACGGCGACCCTTGGTTTAAACAAAGGGTATATATATATATATTAACCACTAAGACATCATTGACTATTTCCAAGGAAGAAACTCATTTAGTTGAAAGTGTACAATGTCTAACGAGCCATCATTATTGGCAAAAACCTTAGGGCTGTCCACTTTGAAGTGGTTACAGATGGAAACCAACTAAGACAAGTTAATGCGCTACTGTTCGTCCTTCACATATGGTTGAACGAAGGCGATCGCGCTCAGACCGCTCTCTCTATGAAAATGTCAACGGAAATGAAGATAATGGTCATGACGGTGTTTGGTGCTGTCAGCGACAATGGTGGCGTGCGTAGTTGTACTAAAAATGGCGAGGATAATAAAAATGGTGGCAAAACTGAATGATAAGGTGATAAAGCTGGGAAGATTGTGGATAAAAGATGAAATATTTAGTGAGCTGAACGGGATGATGTTATTCAATGGTAAAAGCTCTAATCACTCGATAAAATACCTCTTTAATGCCTTTTTCTAAGGCTGCACTGGTCAGCGGTCCAGGACCCTCTATTTGGCATGCCGAGTCGTCAGGTCCCCAGCTGTTGGAGTATATGCCAATAATTTCTAGCTTGTGCACCAAGGCTGCAGATTCTGTTGCATCAGTTGCGCCGTTTTCATCATCAAGAAAACGAATGTCTAACAGAAGAGAATACGGGAGGAGCATTATACAAATACAAACCAAGGAAAACGTTTTACCGATTTACTTGCACCCCTACTTGAACCCATGTTACTCGAACCCTTTCAAGGTGAATTATTCTTGATGCTGCTAAAGAATCCCTCACTTCCCAGTCTTTATCGGTGTGGAAGGGTGAGTGGAACAACCATTCCATGAGTGGGCGCTAATCGAGGGGATTGAGACGAATTCCACTTGCGTAAATTCGACGAATTTCTGAAGATAAGGATACTTAAGAGAGTGTCTCTGTAAGAGCGGTCCGGTCGATTTTGCTTGAGACACGGATTTCGCTCATTTCTTGTGTATTGTGAGACATTCATGTACCTATACTAAAATCACAATCCGTTTGATCGGATCTCTTTATTTTTCAGAGTTTTACGAAAATTAAATTTCGCTCGACCGAAGGCTTGTCGTAACACTTTTCAAGACATTAATTTGAGACAAGTTTGGAGGACGATTTACAAAAAACTACGGAACTCAGCAAAAAACAAATAGCCCAGCCATGTATATTAACTCTATCTTATCTATTGAGGCGACTTTTATGAACATCATGTTTCAATCAAGGAAACAGGAAGACTTGAATGAGCCTTTTTGAAAATTTAAAGGAGAAAGTTATAAGAGTAAAATGAAAGTTGTCTGTACCATGAAGCATGCCTTCACTGTTTAGACTGGGAGTCCTAAAGCTTTTTAAGCATGCATTCGAATATCTTATGACGATAAGCCCGCCAACCACCCCACCCCACCCCGCGCTATACTGTTTTCACTCAGCGGCTGGTCAGCGGTCACGTTTATGAGGTAAACATAGCGATCGCCTCCTGATCACCGTTCTTGTCGATCCGAAAATCAAACTACCAGCGTGATATTGCCTCGAAGATGAAGCAATTATGTTATTTGATTCGTACTTCACATTTGAGTCGAAGCTGGGGTGGCACAGGTCATTTCTTGCGGTTGAATCGACGAGGGGAATTCGAGCACAAGTTGTAGTTTTTTAATTGTTGGAAGAAATGGTCGCATGGGGATGTAAGAATGGTAAGTTTAAGGAACAATTTCAAATTTTGCCGCTTGAATTGAAAGTAAAGTTCATTTGAATTGCTTTCGTATGTATTTCTGACGGTCTTAGATCTACCTGCTTGATTTATATCTGCTACGCTTCATGTTGACGAGTCCCTCAAAATGGCGGCCAAACTTGGACATTGCCGAAAATTAGGTAAGTTCACGGAGTTATAAAGTTTTCGTAAAGGTCGGGCCGCAAAGTTTTTTTCTGTAGGTACCTTTTCTATGGCACCTTCTTCCTAGCTATGTTAGTTTGATCAGTTAAGAACGCCTCACTTTTTCAAAAATTTACCTTGAATTTGATCAGTTTTCGCGTGTGTGACTTAGGCGAACCGATACGGTGTCATTCAAGTCTTTCTGTTTCCTTGATTGAAACATGATGTTCACAAAAGTCGCCTCGATAGATAAGATAGAGTTAATATACATGGCTGGGCTATTTGTTTTTTGCTGAGTTCCGTAGTTTTTTGTAAATTGTCCTCCAAACTTGTCTCAAATTAATGTCTTGAAAAGTGTCACGACAAGCCTTCGGTCGAGCGAAATTTAATTTCCGTAAAACTCTGAAAAATAAAGAGATCCGATCAAACGGATTGTGGTTTTAGTATAGGTACATGAATGTCTTACAACACACAAGAAATGAGCGAAATCCGTGTCTCAAGCATAATCGACCGGACCGCTCTTACAGAGACACTCTCTTAAGCTTGTTTCCTCTTCCAGCCCCAACTTAACGTGGCGTGACGCCCAACACATCATAGCCAACAACCCTTTTAAATCGATCTATTTTTTCGGGTAATAAAACAACACGAGTGTAGAAACTTGTCTACAAATTTACCTTCTATCTGAGCTAAACCTGGGGAATATCTGGTGAATATCCGTTTAAAATCAAATTAAAGATGAGCTAGGATGGTACTTTGGGGTGGTCCTTTCATTTTCCCTGATGTGCAATTTGTTTATATGGACAAGTTTGGGGGGTTCGCTTTGCTCTCTCGATTGCAAAGGACATTTTCATTATTAAAGGTATTTATGTGATATCTGGCACATGTATGTTAGAAATTAAGTATGCAATTAGTCCCCCAAGGATTTAAAGGAGAGTGTAACTTCATAGTCTAGGAACAAACTACTGAGATTAGCACGAGTCCTGTTTTCACATTCTTTCCTCTTGAGTCTGTCAATCGCACCGTCTAACTCCTTGAATGCATTGGTTACAATGGGTAAACAATACATTAAAGTCAAACGGTTAGACTATACTCTAAATGTTAGTTATTACCTGCAATGTTAGCTTCATAAGCCATTCCCACACCACATAAACCATTATTGCGTTTTCCAGCTATGACGCCTGCACATTTATTACCATGTCTGTAAATAAATAGAGATAAACATAGATTGGTTTCACTGTCTTAAACCTTTGTAATTAGTTACAAGCATACACTTGTTAAAGAAGGGAAGCAGTCTTTCCAGGTGAACTGCAACTAAAGAAATTGCAGAAAAAAAGGGTGAAAATATCAGGACCGTATTTAAAAAATTTCAGTTAATTTTGGCTTCAAGCATGCAGTTTATTCTCACTGCTACTATATTCAATAAGAAGAAGTTGTACGTCCAAGCGTTAAAAGTTTGATCTGCTTAACTGCTGCAGCTTTCTTGCATAAATCAAACAATTCAGCTTTTTCCATTCGTTTGCCGCCATCACTCAGCTGAATACCTCTCTCCCACAAATAATTCTTCACTTTCCCACACTGCACACAATTGCGCTCATTTCCATCACCACGGCTCTTAGGGAGGCTCGAAAGGGTTTTTCGTTGTTGCAGTGTTTATGAAACGATGGAAGATTACAAAGAAGGATATTTAAGGGGGTGGGCAAACTATATGTCTCCTTGCGACTCTATTGCTGGGCTATACTTTGAGGGTACTTATGACGTCATATCAGTTACCATGGCAACGCAAAGGTCCACAAAAACGTCCACTAAATTTTAGTTTTTGTAAATTATCTGAAAAACTAATTCGGTGACCTACCATTTTTATTTCTTTGTTGGAAAGTTCCCTAAATTCTTTAAATTTTCAGACAGTATGGAAAAAATTTATGTAGTAGAATTAAATATATTTAAAGAAAATGCGATTTATGGCTTACATAAAATTCTACTAGATCATTTTTCCCGAAACTTTTATATTTGAAGTGCCATGGTGAATGGTGCGTGCATGCAAAAAATTAAGATAGGTCACCGAACAAAATTTCGAGCTAGAAACAAATGTATTTCGCAGATTTTATTTCCGGTTCGCGCAATTTCAAGCAACATTTAACTTGCCTACCCCTCCCCTTCTCCTTCTTCTCCTTGACCAGATTTCAATTTCTCCTTACTATATGATCTCTGAACCAAACATTAAGGTCACGAGAATCAAGGAAACGATCAACAAGTTATAGAGAACAGTATGGAGAATATGCATACTGATGTTAGGCTGTAAAGGGATAATCAGCTTACCCTGGTACTGGTGTTCCAAATGACACCTGTTTGTCAGCCACATAATCGTAACTCAAATCCCATCTCTAAAGACATAAAATGCAAAGTAAACAACCAAATAAATAGTATGAAATTAAGAGATCCTCGCAGCTAAGAACACTACTGAAACGAGTAGTTGAAAAAAGGACCTGGAAAAAATTCAGGCCCTATTTTCAGATCCTATTTTCAACTACTCGTTTCAGTAGTGTTCTTAGCTGCGAGGATCTCTTAATTTCATTTCTTCACCGCAGTGCAAATATATGAATTTCATATATCTAAAATCGTCAAACAAATTGTAGTGGTCAAGATGAAAAGGTAAAGTGCTTTTCCATTTAAAGCAAATTCATCATTTTCAGTATTACTTAATTAAAAACCCCCAATTGATATTTTCAAATCAAAAAGAAAAAAAGACTGAAAATAAGAAAGCAACAGTTACATAGTTGTCTCTTAGTTCAGGATGACTGCCATCAACTCCATCATCAACTACTCCCACCACAATTCCTCTTCCTGTATAGCCAGATTTCCAAGAAGAAATGACATTGAGTGTTGGTTCATTAGATCCCTCAGGTCTTTTCTAAAATGCAAGAAATATCAGAAGAGCAGGATTAGAAGCCTTTGAATTACCTGTCGTTTGAAATTCAGTGAACTTAAAGCAGATAGTCATCACAGTCCATTCCCTTTCAAAACTGAACATAGTTTTTCATGCCAGATGAGATGACTGGAAATATAGCCAGGTAAGTCCTTTGATATGGCCAGAAAATCATTAAATTCACAAACTACAATAGTCAATAGTGAATACAAGTAGGTCACATAGCACTAAACAGTGACATGATGTTCATAATCTTGCCAGTAATTATCATCATCACTAACGTCATTATCATCGTCATTATCATCGTCACTAAAATGTTATCGTTTTTTCTATCATTATCATCATCATCGCTCACTGTCATCCTCACTGTCACTGTCATTAAAATCATCATTGGTACATCCAATGGTATAGTGCAGCTTAAGGATGAGGGAACATTTATACCAGTTCCATACGCACATTTTATATGCAAGTGTATGCATCTGTTAACACATGAGTTTGAAAATGCATACATACAAATTAAACAAATGCTCCTGAGAATAGACGCATGTGCTCCTCTGTCAATACTACACTGTACATATGGTCTTACTTGTATACGCATCTATGTCCATTTAACATGCATATTTTGGTTCCCTTAAATGTGGTGGTAGACATCGGTTGTAGTGAAAACAAAGACCCCCGAAAGCTAACTTATGATCTTTAAGACCTAAGACCCGAAACCGACGACCCCTTCATGATCTTGAGACAGGAAGTTCGCATCATCATTATGGCTTTACCAAAGAAAACCAGTGAAAAGACTGACGAATTCTCTGTTCACAGCGTTAGGCAATGTGATCATTCATCAGTTAAAAAAAAGCAAAATTGTCTAAACCAGAATTTAACTATTTTCGTTTCATTTATTTCCTATTTTTTGCTTTCTTAATTTATTTTTGAAAAAGCTAGTGCCCTTCAAAATTTCCCTGCTTTCCTCATTCTAAAAAAAAAAAGATCAGAGCTTGCCGATGTGAACTTTTGACCTGGCTGACACCAGCTGGTGTTAGAGCATCGCTCTTCACTCATACTTGCACGACATATGGCATAATTTCTTCTTTTCAAAGTCTATTTGGTTTTGGCAAAATTGTATCGGCCGAGGAAGTTTTGGAGAGATTTTTCCTAAGGATTTCGGAATTACGCCTTTCTTGTACTAGGCACTTACTTTGTGGGAAGGGTGAGGCAATGAAAGAAGTGTTTTATCACATGCTTTATAACTGTCAATAACGAAAAGAAGGGGTCTTTGTTTTTCGGGTCTCTTTGTTTTTCTAGTCTTCATTTTTGGGGCCTTTTTATTTAAAATTGGTGTTTGAAGGCATAATTTATCGCTATTAGAAAGATTAAAACCAGGACTGAGTATTTCCGGCAAGAAACCATTTCAAGATCATAATACAGAAAAGAAAAAAGAAAATAAAGGGGTCTTCATTTTCGGGTCTTCCATCTAAGGTCTTAGTTTTTGGGGGTCTTCGTTTTTGCTACAGCCGGTAGACACAGTAGTATTAACATATTCACCGACCAAATAATGAATGGAAAATTAACTTACAATATACCACATCTCACGAAGTTCTGGGTTTATCTGTAAAAGTTTATACTTTTTCTCTTTCTGATGCATAAACCATTCAACCTGAATATAAAGAAAATAACAAATGAATTATGAATTATCAATATCTAATGAGAATTCTTTGGAAAAGAAAAAATAAATACCAGAGCCTCCGTGGCCTGACTTACTCGTAAATGTAAGTAAACGTAAGTATAATCAGGAAATTTAAGTGAGTTTGGAGACTAAAACGTAATGTAGGTACGCAATGGGAGCTACAACAGTACATTTGAAGTTAAAAGCATGGCAGCATTATCAGAGCTGTTAAAGAGAGCCTGCAGGTAGCCAGCCACAATCATCTTTTGCATGCTTAATTAACTTTCACCTTACTTTACTAATATTTGGGACAAAAAAAACTAGGATGCCATGAAAAAAATGCGCACAGCGGTCATTTCTCAGTTTTAAATTAAACTGAATGCATATTTCAATTGAATTAGTATTGTGAATCCATTCGACATTCAAGACATGATTGAAAGTTCATGTAGACTTTCTTCTTTGTAACTAATATTAACAGGTATGCATTAACATATTATGTCCTAAAAAACTCTAGTTTTCAACCTCAACCATTCTCAAACTTAAAATTGACCCTGTTCCAAAGTCTCTGTTGAGTGGAAAATTCCTTAGCACCCCTACCTTTGGCTCAGAACGCAAAATGCTGTCAATTTCTGATGATAGCAAGGTCTTCCCAGACTTTTTCACACTTTTTATAGTATGATAGTCATCAAAGAGCTGAAAAGTTTAATGAAATAATGTTAAAATGAAAATGTTTCATATAAAAGCAATCTTTCAGTCATTTTGGACTGCCAATCAATGGATTAATACTATGTATAGTATCTAATTATGTGATTGTAAATGAAGATAATCTCCAAGAACTTTAATCAATGTACTTAGAAATAATTTAATTTTCATATTTCTAGATAAGTTGGCATAACCACCCATTTTTCTCAACCTTTCCTTGTTAAGTGAGTCAATTAAGGGGCAGTATATATTCCCCATCCACTTTTCTGAGACTAATTGTCACTGGCTCGGAAAGATGAGACACAAGAATCACTTGTCTGACTGGATATGCAGAAGTTATGTTATCACATAATTCTTTTCAGCATCGCAGTACTGGATAAAAGGTCAAAAGCTCATTTGACAGAGTGCTGTTGAGCCTTCGCTTGCATGACTAATGTCAGTGGATAGGTTTATAACTTTACATCAAAACAAACATCGATCACAATTAACTGATCACAAACTAAAAATTTGTAGGATTCATGAAGAAAGTCCTAACTGTAATGTGAACCACGCCCGGCAGTCTGATCTGAAGCGTGGAATTTCTCAAGTGTCGACAACCAATCAATATTATGGGATGCACAAGCTCGGAGAACTTGTCCTCTAAAAGAACAAATTAATTTTTGGAATCGCTTAACATTTGTAAACAAACATCTGATATTCTTAAGAAGTTTGAAAGAATCTTTCAGTTTAAATTCTGTGAAAATTTCTGACTGCCGAACATTAAGTCTTTTTGAGACCGTGCCGGGCTGCCGGGCATTTAGCCACAGCTAATTTTAAGAGGTCTCTCGGATCTCTTAAGCTTAATCGTCAAATCTTAGCCTTATGAGCAGAAGGGCATTTTATTTCAGTGTGTGCTGTTATCGCCGGTTACACCAAATAAAATCCTGTAGTTTGGTTCTGAAATATTCATACAGGTTTGAATAGCATAAGCTGTGAGAAATCTGAGATGAAATAACAAAGCCAAATTTTTAAAAAAGAGTTTGCCGTTAAAATTTGACCAAGCGCCAATCAAATTATGATATTCCATACGTTGTTGTTGAGGTCTTTCGTCACGAGATAATAAAATTTGTCTAATTTTGGCTTTTTTAAATGTTTAGAGTATCAATCGGTGCTATATTTTCAACTTAAATGGTAAAAATCTAAGATTTATTGAGCTACTTATATAACACGGTCGGAGTTTGCTCAATGAAGTAATTTGCATAATCGGCTATCACGCTAGCACAATCGCTAAAAGTTTGAAGTCACCACCGCGAAGAAATTAATAAGTGCGAGATATTTTTATATTTTTCTGCTGCCAAACATCTCAGAAGAAACCGAGCGGAGTTTTCAATGGTCTGGTCTGGACTTGAACAGTATCAACCAAGAAGGAAAGAGTACTTTTGAACAAGTTCAGAAAGCTGTCTGAGCGTATTTAAATAAATTATGACGAACCTCTGAATAGACGAATATCAAAATTGAAATACTTTTTATACACCTTACATATCACACAGTCTAAGAATACAAAATATTTTTTGCTGCATGCGGTGTGATACGAGGACCGCGCTTTTCAACTTTTGACATTTTCGAGCTCAAAAAAGGGCCTTTGGCAGCTTTGACTAATGAGAGTTCTAAAAGTTTTATTTTAACGTATTTCTAGAGACTATTGTAGTTTTATTTACTTGCTACTAAAGATAGTTTATCGGGCAAAGTTTGAGGGAAAACTTTGTTCCGACGCGAAATTCCCTGTATCGCTCTTACAGAGATCGCCACTTAACTTCTTTGATCGGATCAAATATCTCACGATCGTCTCCACATATAACTTTGTGATTTTCACAAGAAAAACATAAAAATCTTAAGGCTAACCTTAAGGTTTGCTACCTCATCTGCACATCTTGATCTCCAGTAAATCAAATTTTTCGGAATTTTTTCGCACTCTAATGATCAAAATATCCTCATCCGAAGAGCCAGCAAACACCACGAGCATCCACAGAGTTCAAAATATTGCTAGAATAGTTATTGTATATCATTCCTTCCCCAAAAATATAAGAAAAAGGTATCGATCGCGTAGTTGAAGACCCGTGGAAGTGCGCTGAAAATATCAAAGAAGCAAATTTACTGGTGCATGCGTAGCAGATGTCTCGAGTCGTGCCACGTACATGTTTTTAGCGCAAAACTTGTGAATTGTTTCTTAGCGATAGAGCACCCTCTTACGCGGAAAAACATTTCATACGCTAGAGTTCCATTTTTCTTCCCGAATTGAAAGTTTGCTAGGCAACACGATTCTTCATTCATTCTCAAGTTTCGGGGACAAAATAAACGACTTCACAAATTTCTCTTATACATTTTGGCTTAGAAAGCATAAAAACAACTGTGTGAGACGTCATGATCGTTGAGTGAAATGATATCACGTTCTTTGGTTTAGCAAAACAGCTGAAACAGACCATAGCAATGGCTTGAGAAGTTAAGGACCAGTTACAAGTTAAAGCTTTCAAAAACATTCTAGAAAGACCTCGCTGAAGCTTACCTCCGTTTCTCATTCAACAGTTCAGTCGAAACGCATATAATGAAACAGTACTTACATGCCGGAGATAGGAGAAGTTGTACTTCTGCGCTAACTTCTCGACTGCTTGTCGGCCGCCACTCACTTTTACGGCCCAGATATTAGTGTAAAGCTGACTGGCAGTAGTTTCCGTCAAAATCAAAAATAGCAGAGAATTCAGAGCGAAAAACCGAGACATTTTAATCGACAATAAACAGTGAACGCCTCGATCAATGAAAAGTAGACCGAGAGACCTGGTAACGAAAGACTGACCACGTCTGTACCCAGGCGGTGTGCGCACTCCGATCGCGTTGCATTATGGTAGCCTCATTGTCAATATCGCGGTGAAAGCAGCAGAAATCGGTAGATTTTGACTGAACATTAAGTAAAAGTTAGGCCGTTTCTTTTTCCTTTCACCATAGATAAATATAATTTGATTTATTCTGAATGTGTAAAAGTATTTTTTTGTACGTATTTGTCGCATATTCTATGGTTCCCAAAGACAAACGTAATCACTGTTTTTCAGTATGTAATTTGAGACCAGTTTTCGAGAAGGTCAAATTTGGTGTACGTCGTAGTGTGAAGCCTTTCAAAGATTTGGATGGCCGCTTTGATCCTTCTTCAACAGCTCCGACCATACATTCTCAAACGTTCTCCAACAGTACATGTGTTTGTCGAATTTTAAGTGACGGTGTTTGAGACCGATAATGGCCAAGAAGAGGCCTATTGTTGCGTTAGACAGCGTTACTTTTGTATACTCAATTGTGATGTAATCTGCTTTTCTCAGTAAAAGGAAATTTACTAATGGCGAGTGTTGTAGAGTAAATCTACTATCTTGATCATTGAATGAAGGACAGATGAATTGGAGCAACGAAAGGAGTCACTTGACCAATAAATAACTCTACAATGCACACGGCGATACGCCAGATAAGCCGGAAAGCAGAAGGCAGTTGATGGTTAAAAGGTGTTGATAGGCTTGTGCGACTCCTGCCATTCACTTGCGCTTTTAAATCTTCTGACCTGAAAGCTAAGCTGTTATTAGGATATCTTTTAATGACTTTTGTTTGCGATGTGATAATAAAGGTTAGTTTTAAGGTGTCATTTCTCCATCTGTATGTTCTTGGTCTTCTTGAGGATTGGCAAAGCCAGAGTAGACGGTGTTATCAAAGGTAATATCCATTTGTGCGCACTGTTTTTTTCGTTTTCGGGTATACTTTCTCTCCCGCATAAAATAAATCTGGAGATACGTTTCTCAAAACCGTATTCTTGGTATTCTTTATTCGTTAAGCATATCTGAAACTCTGTAAGTTTTTATTCAACGTTGAGCGTGACGAATCTGATCTTGGGAGACGTAAGGCTTCTCCTTTTGCGAATTCCGTATTTACGCCTTGAAGTGTATGACATGAAAAGTAGTTCGTGTATTAGAAGGTCGCTGTTTCTTTGTAATATAATGCGTTTGCATGTCAAGGGTCGATTTCCCGTTAAATAACTCGCGAATTTGATATTCACACAGCCATCGGCTGAGTGTAACTGCTGCTAAATGAATAGATTCTTGGGTAAGGCTGCAGTTTTGATTCTTTCTGAATCTCTTCAGTTGCCTTCTGATAACGAATTTGTCACGGAGCAATAAAACTTTTTAACTTTCGAAGGAACGGCAACAGACAGTGAATCCTCATTACATTCCACATTCATTCACGCTATCTCGCTGCCACCCGAGATGTTCAGTCGACCACGACAGGATGCAAATGACTCGCTTTTCGTTTTACGACCATGATGCAATGCAATCAGAGTGCGCACACCGCCACTAATGTCTTCTTGTTGTAGATATGTCCTTTAACGTAATGTGATACAGTGGCCAATCATATCCTGTGATCTATCGAGCGACACGCGGCTTGGGACTGGTTAAGAGACTCCGTTGTAGTTGTGTCTTCAAGCAAAAGTATTCATTCAAGGGGGTCGGGATAAGTGGAAAATTTGTCCAGTATTTTCCGGTAACTGATTTGAGGAAAACATGCTGTTCGCATGATCACTGCGAACCGGGTCATTGGCCTCTCACATTATTTTCTTTGAAGTTCTATCGTTCCTTCGTTAGCACCGTGTGATCGCATCGTTGTTATAACCTAAACGTGGAAGAACAACTTCAATCGGCTACGTAAATAACAAAGCGACTTTCGACCTAAGGACGCATTATTGTCCACGCTTTATTTGCAGTCTTGCTTTATTTACTGTCATCATTGTTCGACTTGCGACTCCATTGACAACATTTTACACACAACCTAAGACAAAAGCACAATGTGGCGTCATATCACAATTGTTTTTACTTTCTTTAATAGTTGAAGATTCCATGGCTATCGTAACTACTATTATTAATATTTCCAATCAGGGAAAACTTCTAATACATTTATAGAAATTTTAAATCATTAGAATGGCAGAATTTTTGCTAAAGAAGTTTTAATGAATCTTCATGTGTCGTTCTCTCACGTGACAAGAGATAGTATGCGTGGGACTGTAACAAGGAACACTATTGCATCATGAAGGGTGTGAACGGTGTTGCGGTATTCTCTTTAACGACTCCCTCGATCCATCACTATTGTAACTACTATTACTAGCATTTCCAAACAAGGAAGACTTCTAGTAAATTTATAGCAATTTTTAATCATTAGAATGGCAGAATTTTCCTCCGCTAAAGAATTTTTAATGAATCTTCATGCGTCGTGCTTTTACTTGACAAGAGATGGTATTCGAGGGACTGTAACGAGGAACTTTAGTACGCATGAAGGGTGAGAATATTATTCTCTTTAATGATTCGCTTGAACGATTCTTTTGAACCGTCTCATAAACGACTTCACAAATTTCTCTTATACATTTTGGCTTAGAAAGCATAAAAACAACTGTGTGAGACGTCATGATCATTGAGTGAAACAATATCACGTTCTTTGGTTTAGCAAACAGTAGATCATCACCCTCTTTGCTTCAGCGAACAATAGATTATCGCAAAGACATCGTTTCTTGAACAGCAGCTTAATAGAAACGAATAAGAAGATGAAAGAATGCGTGGACGTATGGTTGCTGATTGTTTGTGTGAAGATTAGAGAACTGGACATCATTTGGTTATGTTGCGATACGCGTAACATAACTGTCATGGGTAAATTTTTACTCAAAGCCCCATACTATTATAACAAAAATCTGTTTTCCAATGGTAATGTATTGTCTTTATCATTGTTTTCTCTATCCAAGAACATAATGCATACTGTAGGATGGGGCTGTGCGGAAATTTTACCAAGCGCCCTCTTTTCACAAGATAGGCGTTCTGATATCAGCCGAAACGACTTGTATTAAACGAATTGCTTTCTTTATTTGTCTGTTGTGAAATTGAATCGGCTCGCTCTATTGACTCATAATTTAAACTAATTTCACAAGCGATTTATTTCTTTTTTTAACTTTTATTTAGGCCTTGAGTATTATTTTGAAGCTCTCTGTTCCTAATGACCGTTTGCGCGTCATTAAATATTTAGCTGTGTTTAATTTGCATATGTCATGAAATTAGCAAACAAAAACCCGTTCGGCCTCTTGTCAAATTCAAACCTTACTTCGTTACGTTTACGAGTGATCCGAGCTTTTTCGAAAATTTTCTTTCATATGTTCCCTTGTGGCGTCAACGTCAACCTCAGATGAGCTTTTGCGGATGACTTTTTCATCGCCGGAATATCGCTGAACGACCTCGCTGAACAAGATAGACTCTGCCTTCTCTTCGTTATGTAAGCAGTCATTTCTTGTTTGACTCATCGGTGTTTTCACATTGATATTTCATTGTTCCGCTTCGAGACACGCGGTTGACAATACTCACGAGCAAATAGTTAAGATATAACTTATTAACTTTTACTATTTTTATCATCCAATCACAGGTCGGAGCCATTCCTGTATTTAGTCACTAGTTTAAAAATATTGCTAAGCAAAACAAATATGGCGGCTCGATACGATGGCACAATTCATTTCAAAAGAGGTGTGTAAAGAATATATATATAGATATATATATCCACATTATGGACTCTGGGAATTCCAGCAACGACACCCAATGTATTTCTAGGCCTTTTACGCCTAAAAAAGGCCATCAAAACGCCCGCGGCGCGTTCGGTCGCTTAGAGAAGACCTCAAAAATAAAGAAAACAACGAGGGAATTATTAAGTAAAGGCTACAAAATTGGTCAACGAAAACTGAATTACGAAGACAGCTGTGAGGAAAAGGAACCACCTAAAAAACGGGCTTTGGGGTTATCTCGGGTAAGTAACCTACGATGTTCAGGATACTTGCTTTTTTCCGTCCTTGGAAGACAAAAATTATTGTTTTGATCGATTGCAAAAGTGGCTCTGACTTCCACCAACAGACGGCAGCTAAAAATTTACAAGGAACTAGAGTGGTTCACATACAACCATTTGCACTGCTTTCTTGGATCATTATCGTTTCTTCGGTATAAAATCGTAGTTTCTTTAAGTCAACAGCAAATCGAAATAATCATCGTGGACATGGCCATGTCGGAAGAAGAAGGTGAGAGGAATCTACAATACTTTCAAGAAAGAGGGATATAAACATCCTCGGAAGGAAAGTGTAAAAGAAAGGCCGAGTTAGTTGAGCTAGTGTTTTAATGCTCATTCAATGAAGCTCGCGAAAGTGTCTGACGGGGAAAGTGAAAATGAAAATCTTATCATGGCCGAATTACTTCCCACAGACGAGGGGGTGTTTTGCCAGACCCAGCATCTATATCGAAATGGAGCTGGAGTAGGAATCTCTCAATATTTCCATAGGTCACCTATCCAAATATATGTAATTATCTACTGGGAAAGACCGACGAGTGCCCTGAAGAAGCCTTAAAGTCTTTTAAAAGCCTAACAGGCTATAAACTGTCAAAGATGGACATGCTCTGGAGCTAAAAGTCCCTACAGTTCCTAACACGTCTGCTATCTTGGTAAAGTATCAGGTTCAATCAACAGAAAGATCAAAGACGGGATCCGGAAAGGCAGCTTTGATGGTATCATGATTTAAAAAAAATAACGGTGCAATACATGGTGCATTTTGCCCATGCCAAGGAGGGTAAGTACATGTAAATTATGGTTTTTTTTCATTTTTTCTAAGCATCTTTCAATGCTGAAACATTTCATCCTATATATTGTTGTTGTTGTTGTTTTTTTAGTATTTAAGTTG